GTTGCTGAATGTCTTCTTCACTAAAGAGCAATCCATGTTTTTCAGGTTTTCCTTTATAATATTTTATCTACCAGGAGTTAGCTCTTAATTATCAGCTAAATGTACATGAGCAAACTCAGATTTCAATTAATGTGTGATGTATTCATAGTTTACATTTTTTCATAATTTCAGAATGGAAGAGTGGGGAAAAGAAGAAATATGTTTGTTAAAGATGAGAGATGCCCTTAAGCATCAGTTAAATCGGTTGAAAATAGAAGAGGTTGCAATCAGACAAAAAATATCACTAGCTGAAAATCAGCTTGAAAACCAATCACAAGTCAAAGAATCGAATGAGAATCTTTTAACATTGGACCTGGACCCTGATTCTGAATTCAAAGGTTGAGGATCATATTCAACTTTTATGTGAACAATTATTGCACAATTTCGATCAAATTACTTCTTTAGAAGGATCAAAAAAGAAGTCTCTCACTCTGTATCAAATTGAAAAAGCCCTCTTGAGAAAAGCCAGGACAGCACAGCCCAATTCATTTAAAAAAGGAGGAGTGATATCTAAATATCTATTGGGAGGTAGACTTGAGACATCTTGGTTTGCACAGGTACTGGGGACTGTGCCAAATGGGGACTGGGCCAAATGGCCTCAATGACTTCATAATTAAACCTTCAAGACATTTTGGAGATTATATTTTCATTCTTTCATTAAATTTGTATCTTACTGTTTAAATGTTTGATTGTTAGTGTTTAAATTCAATTGATTCACTAATCTTGTTACCAAATGTTCAGAATAGCAATAACTTTATGATAAAATTTCAGATATTTACTGTGGACATTTTCAAAAACATGCCATTCTTATGAACCAAATATTCATACAATTCCCCATAGTCATGTCATTTCGATTTCCGGAAGAGGCAGAATTTATCAACTGTGACACACTAGAAACCTTCAGAGAATCACTTGTTGAATGGAATAGACGTGAAACTCAAACATATGAGAGAGTTTTTGCAGTTTTTAAACCCATTTCAAGATTTCAATGGGACCTCAACGCTAATTACACAGGAAATAATTCGGTAAGCTTGACTTGGATTCGTTTATTATAAACTTGAGTCATTGAGTGAGCTATAATCTACTGTAAAACCAGAAAATTTTGGGTGACAAAAAATTGTAACAACAAAATGTGTTGGAATTGTAAAATATTTGGGTGTACATGTTTTATATTCTTATACAAAATCATTTAAGTAATTTTGATACGATCTTATCTTCAGTCACCTGAGATATCTAAAGCTTACTGCCTGGGACAACAGAAGGAATTGCAAGAAATGAAAGAGCGCCGTGTTGCAGCAATGCAAAAATGTGTGGACTATAAACTTCAGTTGCATCAAAATCTTTCAAAAAATCAGGAAACATTTAGTAAATCTCAATTAGCTAGGCGAGATGCTCTTATTATGGAGAGTGAAATAAAGAAACAACGAGTATGGGATTACGAATGTATAAAGAATTTTCATGAAAATTGTAAGCAACTCAGTTGGGGAAAGGCAGGGAAGTTTCAAATTCTGGGGGAAATTGTGGACTATTCTAAATACGAGGATCCAAAATGATGATAAACATTTCATATTATAATGAGCACAATATTATAATCATGATTCAGTCGAATGTCTATAATATCTATTTTTTGTACAATTTGCACCGCAATTAACCTTGATTTTTTGATGTCCCACCCCAAGTTGTTTCTTGCTGTTTCATGGCTTCTTCCTCATTCATAGCTTCGGCTGCTGTGCCGTCCCTAGTCATTCCTCTAAATTCGGCTGCAGCCTCATCTAATTCGGCTGCTGTCCCGTCCCTAGTTATTCCTCTAACTTTGACTGCAGCCTCATATAATTCGGCTGCTGTGCCGTCCCTAGTTATTCCTCTAACTTCGGCTACCGACTCCTCTGATTCATCGGGCATTTTCTGATCGGACTATACATTTGTTAATTTATTAATTTCTGTACCTGTATTGGTACCTGTAATACAGGTTCTGGATCACTGTTTTATTCGTGTTTAACCAAGTGATGATGTCAAACAAATATTGATATGGATAAAGTAGATATATAAATAAATTGGTTACTATAGTAATTAGTAACTAATAACACACGAAAGTTTGGTCATACATCCGGATCCCGATGACAGGTCACTCCTAAGTTATTATTAAATAAAAAGTTCTAAACAATCAGTAATACTCCTAAGTTTAGATATTTAATGTTATGGCTGAAATTGGTGCAACTAACTGTAACTGTCAATTTTCAGTTAAACAAAAATTCAATTTTATGCCATTTATTACAGAGTAAACAAGTTTACAATAAATCAATTTGATATTAAAAGGAATCCTAATTCAATGTGTAGTATGGTTCTCACTCTTTAAATAGATTAGATATAGGTTGACGGGGCAAAGGAGTGTTTATACTGCTATCAGATCACAATTGTACAGCTGAAAGAGAAGCAAAGAGTGTATATATCAATTGTTCCATTCTGTGTCTCCATCAAGTATCAAATATTCACTACTCAACATAAACTTTTGAGCCTGTTGCACGTTACTTTGCATAATATATATAAGTACAATTTTTTGGTTTTAGTATTTACGATATATTTTCAAGCATAAGTTATCTTTTAGCTCAGTATTCATGATATTTTATGGGATGACTAGTTCAAACACTGCTGAGTATAAGTTGTATCTTAAAAGCGGTTTTATTAAATTTCAATTTATTATTATATCGGGTCTCAATATATTAAGAGGTCTCGACTGCCTAGGCATCAAACCTTGGCAATCGGTAATTTTCCTCTGGCCCGGAGTCAGTTGACTCTAGGGACCAGAGGATAAAAACGTAGAGACTGTGTGTATCTACGAAAGTGGTTGTTTTTACAAGAGACAGGGCTTGCAATGCAAGGGAAGAAAAATGGGAAAAACAATTATAAAGTGTAAATTATATGAATTAGCAAATAGAAATCCAAACAATCCTACGCTACAATATTATTATATCGGGTCTCAATAAGAGGTCTCGACTGCCTAGGCATCAAACCTTGGCAATCGGTAATTTTCCTCTGGCCCGGAGTCAGCTGACCCTAGGGACCAGAGGATAAAGACGTAGAGACTGTGTGTATCTACAAAAGTGGATATTATTATTATTATTACCACAAATAAGAACAATAATGATTACCTTAGTAGCTTGCCAATAAGATGAAAGTACCCATAGCGCAGAACTGACCCAACTTCGACCAGAGCTTCGATGTAGTCGTGTTGATCTCGAAATTTGCTTATATCTTTCTATATTGCCTTCAACTTAAATAACTGAAATTTTAGATTTAGGCTTCAGATTTTCTATTATTTGTTTGGAAAAAATATGTAATGAATAAAATGATAATCTATACAAATTTCAGAGAAGTGTCCGTGTTCTGATGCAGTTTTAACTTCCACCTGCACCCCTCATAATATTCACAATCAGTTAACCTGTTTTAAGTAAGGACAGGGAATAAAGAAATCTGTGTTAGGAAAACTGACTTTCTGAATAACTGAGGTTTTGGAAAGGAATTGTATAGGGGTGGGAGAGGTTTGATAGATTGACATGCAGTTTATCTTCATTAACCTTCACATACAGTTGTTTAAAGTGTGTACTACTTGTGTACAGTGTGTGCGACATGACAGTACACAGTAAATAATACATTTTACAACCTACACATCTCTCACTGACCAGCTATCTTACTTACTCACTGCGAAACAACCACTTAAGTATTTGCAGTCTAGTTATGAAGGTAGGTTGTCTGCTACCGCCCCCCCCCCCCCCCCCATTGTAGACTGGCAGAGTTTACAGTCTCACCGGCCAGTCCTTCTCTCTTAGCTGACATTACACATAATACTTAGGTGCAATCAGGTGATATGTACTGCATCATATGATATTATACACCTTTATTGTTAACAAAATTAATATCAGGAACGAGCATAAGGAACATGGTTATTGGACAAAGGAATCATGGTGTTCTGACTGTCATTGCATTGCGGGATTGTTTATATCTGGAGTAATGGTTAGAGATAGACATGTCAAAGGCCTCATAAACGTAAATTTATTCGGAATGAACCCATCCATATATCAGGAATAGTACATTGAGGGCTAAGGGTTTCCATTTTCCAAGTTAATTGGTACGAAACTATAAATTTCAATAGTTATATTGAGATGAATTTATTGTGTATAATTATAAATTGCCTACAAAGATTAAATTAAAACCTTCACTGTGAAAGTGCACCCAATGCAATGTTTATACTTTTTACTCTTGATGATATTTTGATAGATGTATTCAGAAATTGGTCAGTAATTTCATTGTTAAATTTTGACATTTTCCCAATAAATTCCCCTAATTTACAGGTAATGAGTAAACCAGCGACCGGTCGAGGTTTTGGGCGTGGGCGTGGAAGAGGGATTGTAAGAAAAGTAGAAGCTACCCCACTGGCCCCTTCTCTCGCAAGTTGCACCACTAATGAAGCTCATATTAATCAGCCTAGTGAACGGAATCTTACTGCATTAACACGTAAAGGCAGAGGACGAGCCAAACCATTAAAAACTACAAATACTGTCAATGAAAATAGCACACCTTTGGTCCAAGAAGATATTGCCAGAGCAAACACCTATACGGACTCTCATCATACCAGCTCCAATACTAATTCTGATGAAAGTACACCACTGTCTACTTCCCCCGTAGGTAATGGAACTCACGTTGATCAGCTAGCATTGTCTTCCCTCTCAGTTGATGAATACATATCTAATGCGCGTAACACGTATTCACAGCATGATGATAGATCGCAAAACAGTGGTCTTTCTGCAAATAATGGTCATAGTAGATATTCACAGCACGATGATAGATCACAAAACAGTGATTATCCTTCAAATAATAGTCACAGTAGATATTCACACGATGATAGATCTTCAACAAACCCTAAAAACAGAGTTCTCGGTCGCACCAAATTTACTGCTCCTGCCATGAGACCGCTCAACCAAGCTGTGGGTAATGCTGGGACAACGAATTACAAATCAAATCGACCGTTAGGAGGTGAGAAATGTTTCAACTTTTCATATAAAGAACCGGATGTTACCCATTCTACACCACCTGTAGAACTAGCAATACAAAGTTTAGGCGATGGAAAACACATCTTAGAGAAGGGGTATGACGGCCAAGTGGACTACATTTCGGAATTCTATCCCAAAAATAAAGCTGATAAACTTATGCACATGTTGCTGGGAACCCTAAATTTCGAGGCTCCTTCAAGGAAACGTGGAGGAGAGACCATTGAACAACCGCGGCTCTCCGTTTGGTACGGACCTAAAGATACGCCTTACAGTTATTCCTACGTCACTCTTCAAGCTCGTGAATTCAGCTCCAATAGCATCATGTATAGGATTAAAGCTGATGTGGAGGAAAAATTTGGGGTTACTTTTAACTCGTGTCTGGTTAATTTGTACCGGGATAATAAAGACGGAGTTGGATGGCATGCTGACGATGAGAAGTCTCTGGGAGACAACCCTACCATAGCATCTCTCAGTTTAGGGGAAACGAGGCGATTTGAGTTTTGTCGGAAAGATGATAAGGAGCGGAAACCAGTTTACGGTTTCCACCTTGTTCATGGTTCAGGATTGTTGATGAAGGGCGATGTTCAAGAAAGATGGCTACACACTGTTCCAAGAGAATATCACGACAGAAAACCTCGGTTGAACTTAACTTTTCGGACTATCCAGGAGACCAAGTAAAATATAGAATTAATTTAGTTAGATTTATTATGTCACCTGACTAACAATAAACGTTTGACAAGTCGCTCAATGTTGTGTTTTAATTAGTACCTGTAATAATAATAGTTACTGTGAACCAAATATATTATAGCCTTGAGTTTGAATTACTATTAGGACCCTTTTTTCGAAGAAGGAAATTTAATTACTTGCGATATCTCGAGTTCTATTTGATCGAGTCCCATACCTAACTAACTTTAATTTAATTTAACCCCTATTCGGTTTATCTGCAGTACCTTTGCCCTTCTCTCGCCCATCTAATACCAACATGTCGTTTGCATATAACTTTATTTTCTTGTGCATTTCCTCCAAGTTTTTGTCTGTGTTTCTCCGCACATACCATAGATAAGATTGTAATCAAACTGTAAATTGCATGATATTTTATCTCATATTTATTTAACTGATATATTTGTATTTAGTATTGACAAACTGTATGGAATTGCTGTAAAACCTCAATAATTCTCCCATCAGTATTCAAAATAGAAATATAAAGAATCTTAGAATAGTTTTGTAACCAGTTCGTCGTTTTTTATCTGTTTTATGTTTAGAAATTCTTTAAAAAAGGGTTAGCATTTAATGTCTATTTTGCATGGAGATTGTTAATTTCCGAGACCCTGATGAAGAACAAACTTTTATTTATATGCAGAATGTAAATTTATTTACCAGTCAGTTTTTACTTTGTGTTAATAAAAGATACTTACTATCAAAACTTGATTTAATTTGTCCATATGAGAGAGACAGGGAGTCTCTGACTCCATCCCTGATATTTTGCTTATCTCATAATTAACGTTTACTGTCTATTCAATGATAATAGACGAGAAGTGATTGGCAGTGAAAACTTATCGATGCATGTAAATAGTTTTTTGATATTAACAAAATACCTGTAACTTTTTAGGCAGCATAATTTAACCTAAAGATTGAAGCTAGCACGTGACCCCCCTATACTGCAGGTAGCAATGTTTAGAGGATTTAACAGAATGCTCAGAGGGCGTGGAAACAGAGGGGGCCGGCAGAATTTAGGAGTAATGTTGTTGGCATTTCAAATATTCCAGTTTGGGATTGACAGAATCCCAATTATCACATTAGTCACACTCATTACAAACATAGGTAAGAGTTGTATATTACTTTTATTTTTGTTATTCTTCGACATGGCCCGATGAAAAACAGTTGATCGGGCTCGCCCCTGAAAGACGAAAAGCGTTTTTGAATAGTGATCACCCGCGGGCGCCAAACGATATTTTCATATTGTTGAGCACTTTACACGAACCGATAGAACGCGCGCAATATTCTTTCAATTTCATGGCCTTTGTAACTCTACGTACCGGATCATTCCAAAATAACGTCGTTATTATGTCATCTTATGGGTTCAAAATTCGACGGCTGACCATCTATTAATCCTAAAAACTGTTATAAGTCAAATCTGTTTTAATTTTTAGATTCAAATCATTTCAGGCGTTTACCTTCGTCTTCCAGAGTTATTTGACATTCCACTCCCCAAAGTACACGACATCTGCATAAGCTACCAGGGGGTGGTGGTCTACAGAGAATATCACAGACTTGTTCTATCAGGTAAGCTTTAAGTTACCTGGTACATGCCCAATTCAAGCGATCTTGTCTATTGGGTGCGTTATATCTCTCACAGTTCTTTTATCTCAATAAGTCTACGTGTTTCAGGATTTTACCATCTAAGCGACATGCACCTGTACTTCAACATGGCTTCATTCCTCTACAAAGGCACTCAGGTATCTTCAAACATACTGTATTCTTCTGAAATGTGGTCGATTGATAATTCGATTTCTATTGAATATTCGATTTCTAACGGTAAGCAGACCGAATCCCTAACGGTCCGAATCCGTTTTACAGTAATTAACAAAATCCTGAGGATTATTAATCCTCCCCCCAGCTGGAGCCCCGTCTAGGTACAGGAAGATTTGCAGCTGTTATTGGATCACTTCTTGTTGGTTCCAGTTCTGTGTACTGTGCTATCCAGTTTCTCGCTGCGCAGCTTCTAGGACCAGCTCACATCCACAGTTGTGCTGCAGGGTTCTCCTGTGTTCTTTTCGGGCTGAAAGTTATAATGCAGAGCACTTCACCTCCATCCCACAGACTGTTTGGGATCCCCATACATATGGCGTACTGGAGCGAGCTCGTCTGGATCTCACTTATATCACCCAATGTCTCCTTCGTGGGCCATCTTGCAGGTTCGTGGTTCTGTTTAACTGTTAATTCCTCAATTTGTTTAAACTGCCCACTATTTCCTGGTATTTTCTGTCTTCGATATTTTAACTTCATTGTTTCCATAGTTTGATTACATTCCTATCTTGAAATTAGCAGACTACGAATAAGAAATTTATGCCCCCTCAAATTTTTTTCGTGTACACCAGTTTACCAATTTGTGATTGTACAGAATTTTTCCTGGTTACAGTAAGACCCCGATTTACCGCACCCCGATTTACTGCAAACGCCGATTTACCGCGGCTTTTTCCTTTCTCCCAAACTCCGCGGGGTCATGCATATAATCATGCACTCGAAGGATTCCAGAGACATGGATATCACCTGTAGACTATGGTGTATGCTGTAACAGCATACGTCATCCAGGGTGAAGGAGAGCTCGCCATGCTATCTTCACCTCAGACTGATACTGATCAGGTCTGAGGTCACTGAATAAACTTCAAGACCTGTCTGGAGGTGCATAGCTTACAATACATTGTCTTAAGTCTGATTTCCATGTTAAATCTACCACTATGAAGTCTGAATCAAAGTCAGCTAATAGTTCTAAAACTGATATACTTTACAGGGATTATAACCGGTTTATTGATGACTAAAGGTCCACTCAATTTTGTCCTTTCTGGCGAGACACCCTCCTTTTTCGAGGGCGGAGTAAGAAATCAGCAGACGTGGGGCAGTGGTGTTTCTAGTGGTGGCAGTGGAGGCAGAAGTGGTGGCAGTGGAGGCAGATCGACTCGTCAAGATAATACAGCCAGCTATAATAACGAGTAAGTTCACATATTCGTACAGCTTTATTGGTTATGTGTTCTTGCTGATTCGTATTTTTAACTTATTATTATATTGATTATATTTTCAACTTTTCTTAATTCCAAAATTTAGCATCCTTTGCATCCGATTTCATCATTTTTATTCGCCCGATTTAGTTTATAAGGCATCTGTAAACCTCTCATAATCCATTGTTGGAACATTTGGCTTCACAATGGATAACACTCTCCTGATAGAAGTCCTGTTTTTACCGATGAGAAAAGCCTCTTCAATCCTTGTTCTCAATATTTCAGATAACCTCTGCTAGAATCTCTCCGTTTTGAACCTCATCTCCTTTAGTCCGGATAAGTTTACTCCCACAGCAGGATCTATCTTGTCTCCGGGTAGTTGTCTCCCTCCCCCTAGCAGTACCTAGTGCCAACGCATCCACTTCCTCTATAAACCCTGACTGTTGCGCATTGATCGCTTCGACGATTTGTGGCTTTGCAAACACTTTATCGTACTTTCCTATTTTTAGCAGTTCTAAAGTTTGTTCCCCCACTCCTTGGTTTCCTAGAATCTGTTGGAACTTTTCAAGAGCTGTGCCGCCTTTAAACGTTTTCAGGATCATGTTCTCTCCCTGCAGCAGCGTCGACGCGATGCCTGCTTCACATAGGAGAATGGCTCCCTGAACTGACACAATCTTCTCGAGATCCGCCGGTCCATTTCCCCTGATGCACTCCAGAGACTTGACCATCTCAAGTGAGTTGCCGATAGTATAGCCTATAGAGTATAGGGGTGTTTATATCGGTGAGCACTGCCGTAGTGTTCACTCCCATGCTGTTTCCTATATCCACCATCAATGATGGTCCATCATCCTTGCCAGACTTTCAGCCTGACTGTCCGTCACCGACCCTATCCTCGACTTCACATCCAGGACTAGAATCTTTATTGCCTCCGAAAGCTTCTTACTCGTTATACTGGAGCAGACCAATGATGGGTAGCAGACGGTAGAGGTGATGTCTCGGATGGAGTAGAGTGTTTTATCTGCAATGTTCTCGACCTCAGTACTTGTCATGTAACACCCTACATCTTCAAGCGTTCTCTTCATGTCTTCTACTGTCAGAACTTAGGGCTATGCTGAAACCTGGGATAGACTCGAGTTTATTGACAGTTCCACCAGTAGGACTCGAGGGTTCCCCCTTGTAATGCGAGCTCGGAAGCGGGAGCCCTGCCTTCAGAGGTACGTATCGAGGATGACTCGGACCTAAAATCAGTTTACACCATCATTCTCAGCCTATTGTTTATTACACCCCACAATAACCAACAACTCCCTCGTGTTAAAGTGAGTTAGTGAGTATCACGAGATCCGCCCTCGTGTCCACTCTTTTAGGAAAGTACCGCCCTTGTGAGCTTGTGTCCTATACCCCACTGAGTAATCTGTCATACTCGTCGTAATTTATAATTGCAAATTTTCTAAATTGTATCTTTCAAGGATTCAAGATTGTAAGACTTGAAGATTTCAACTCGAGTCTATATCTGACTAGGATTTGGCAATAAGTTGACAAAAAACAACCGCATCTTTGGTCAAATTAATAATTTATATTCACAGATTTTGTTTAAATCCATATCGATACTGATACAATAATAATTATTGAGCAGTGTCACGGTATTTATGTTCAGTCTACTACTACTAGCCCAGCAAAAAATCATCGTCGAAAAGGAATTTTACTACAAAATTGATCTCTTTCGACGAAGTAAAAAAACTGAGCCATTGCATGCTTGATCATAAAAGAATAATCACGTGATATAGTATACTACATGGATTCATAGTTAAGTCTAAGTAAAGATAAAGTTTAAAAGCTTTGATGCTCTAATTTAACCATTTGAGTCCATTTATTTTTATCATGCCATTCAGATATTTACGTCAGAATATAAATAATGATAATAATAGAGCATAATTTCCAATTGTTACATCTTCCATATCCGGATTCTCGATCCAAGGTCCATGTTCGACAGAGTGGCGAGAAACGGCTGGAGTCAGGAGAAGTCAGGAGGAGTCAGGAGGAGTCAGGAGGAGTCAGGAGGAGTCAGGAGGAGTCAGGAGAGTCAGGAGGAGTCAGGAGAAGTCAGGAGGAGTCAGGAGGAGTCAGGAGGAGTCAGGAGAAGTCATGAGGAGTCAGGAGAAGTCAGGAGGAGTCAGGAGGAGTCAGGAGGAGTCAGGTGTATATTAAGTCATTTCACTTCCCAACATCATTAGTATCAGAATTGATTATTGGAATGAGTCATAACTTTCTGAATCATCCAAATCATTGTCACTAAAAAAACAAAAGTCCAGATGCCAATCACAAGTGCCATTAGGGCACTTAACTTTTTCTAGAGCAGTGCATTCATTAGGACATAATTCAGGCTTACCATCCTCTACGCATGTGGCACCATCCGTACATTTGGAATTTCCTTTTGGACATTTATATTTCTTGCAGAAATCAGCGTCTTCATCGAAGTTATCTGGGCAATCGTCCTTGAAGCCATCACACATGTACATGGTGTAGACGCACGTTTCCCCATCACCACACAGACTCTCACCATCTTCACATGCCCCAGCTGGGTTTACTGAGAAACAGACCACCATCAGGATCAAGCTGGTCAGTGTTGTCATCATCATCATCTGGGAGATGAGGGTCCATAAAATATCTATCGCAAAAGATATATAGTAAAGATCAGTCTGCTTGTTTTTGATTGATTGAAAGCTTGACGGTGCCAGGCGGTTCTAATGACCAATTAAAACATATATAAAATAATAGTGAATAATAATCCCTCTGTTCAGGGCACTGCACAGTATATGGTTCATGTTTAGTATGAACTCAACCCAACACGTCAATAGCCTAAAATGGAATCAAACCAAAATATTGCAAAAAGGCTTATACATATATATGGTTGGCAGAAATTTAAAATTGAACAAATTAGAAAAAGCACTATTGTATGAGGTTAACAAATTTTTTGTAAAGCTAACTTAAAACTATGAATATAATAATACAAAATAATGTTAATAACAACTTAACCTTGCGAAATGTTTCGAATGAATGTTGCTACTCAACAGAGTCACAGACTTTGATTGGATTCTATGAGGAAATGTTGTGTCACGTAGTCCTTTGTTCCCAAATTTGGTGAGGGAGGTGTGGGCAAAAGTTTTCAAAGTAATTCAACCGCTGAGTTTTACGAGAAGCCTCATGACGCAGACTCATGATGAGACTGAGATCTTATGCAAAGTTTACAGAGAGGTTCAAGTTTGAAGCAAGCTATTTTGTTGAATTAGAAAAAGATATTCTGTTATTGAGAAGTCAGTGCGTATATAATATGATGTTTAAGTTTCCTTATTTGAAACAACTTAGATCTTCTCATAATTCTATTTCTGAAGTAAGATAGAAAGAGACTTAGAGATAGTTCAAATATAACGTGAGCCAGCATAGGGGGAGGGGTTTGAGATTCAGATAGCTAAGCTAGTGTAATTTCGGCACAATTGTATTTGTTTAAGGTGTAAAATCCGGATTGGAATATTATTATTTATGAGTCGCATAGTTGAAATATTTTCTTGGGTCAATTTCTATTTTCTATTGATCCCGTTTGATGCGACAAGGAAAAGGCACTTATCAGGAAAGGAATTATTCAACTTATCAGGAAAGGAATTATTCAACGTTTTAAAAATATTTCTATCAAAAATTCAAAACGTAAAAAACATAAATCTGAGGCAAAATTAATGTATAAATATTTACTTTTAATTCAATCAACTTTATCCAAAAAATGCGATACAAAAAGGTCATAACAGAGTGGAATATAAAAGGGTCAAACAAAGCTTACGTCATATTATATAAACTCTCCGATCCTTTACAAGCTTGAGATCAATTCGTTTGTTTGTTTTCCACTTGTCTCATGCTGTTCAACTATGTGTGAATGTAATATCTGTAATCCATATATAACACGAATATTGAATTGACCTCAGACTCAATTGTTAGTTAGCAGAATTGTAGACTTAGCGGAGAGATAGAAGACTAACTCGTACTCCGTTTTATAGATGTAAATTGTAGAGTACGCTATATAAATATCTACCACATACCACACATCTGCCATTGAACCCTGTGATCCAATGATGAGGACCCAGCAATAGCCGTTGTCGAGGGTTCTCCCTTGTAATGCGATCTCGGAAGGCAGGTCTCCCCTTTGAAGTGCGAGCTCGGAAGCGGGAGCCTTGCCTTCAGAGGTACGTATCGAGGATGACTCGGACCGAAAGTCAAAATCTTTTCAAAGTTTTTCTAATGACCGATTAAAACATAAAGACATGAAGAATTTGTTTTAACTTTGTATGAAAAGCATCAATATAAAATAATAGTGAATAATAATCCCTCTGTTCAGGGCGCCCAGTAGTAAGCTGCGTTATTCTCACCAGCCGACTTGATACGTTTCAATAAATTGGCCAAAATGGCTGAATCGTTACAAACCGTTAGTTAACCATTAGACCCGACTAGAAGGCTCTGCAACTTGCAGGTCGATAGAATTAATATCAAGCATCACTTCTCATAAGTACTAAATAGTTCCATTTAACCAGGGCACACGAAGCAGAAGAGAGGAGGAGAGAAGCAGAGGAAGCAGAGCTGCAGGAGGTGATAAGAAGGAGTCTAGAAGAGGAAAACAACCCCTCCCGCAGACCAGCCCCCCGCTCCGAACCTACAGGCTACACACCGGGCAGACTGTACCCAGACCTCCCTGCTTCACCCTCAGCACCACCTCCAGAGGACTTTTACCAAGATGAAGGGTTCCAAGGTGAACAGGGTAACCAGGGTGCCCATGATCCTTCGCAAGCTCCAAGGTTACCTGGTTACTTTGATGAGATCAGAAGAAGGAGGGTTCAGAGGTTTCAGTGAGATAACAGATCGTACTAGTAGTAGTAGTACGTAGTATGTAGTAAGTAGTAGTTACCATTGGGTACTATAGCGTTGTTGCAATATACTGGAGACAGTATGTCAACCACGATGCCAAGAATGACTGACGTGAACGGGTTTTCAACTTTCAGTTCTTGTTATCAAGTCTGATAATATCAATTTAACCTGTAGAAATATACGGTTAATGCCAAGTCACTGACTTATGCCATGCTAGAGCTTAGCTATTGTATTTCATAAGAAACGCTTTTAATTATTTACAAGGTTGGTTGTAAATAGTACATGATTCAAGAGTTAATATATAAATTTCATCAACAAATATCATATTTGAAATATGTTAATCATTATAAACTATTTTTTGAATGAGCAGTTTTCGACAGATTTCTGAGGTTTGGGTTATTTTCATTGTGAGTCACAATTTGTGACTGCGATAATTTTAGTTAAGACTTTAAAACATTCCACGGTTTTGCTTTTTAAATGTGTTAAATGAACATATTATGATATTATTTCATTTGAAAATTATGTCACCTTTTATTTATGATTACCTTATAGTAAGTTAGATAATTATTACCAGTATGGTTAATTTAATTTCTATCATACTAACAGCTGTCCTGTATGTTATTGGTAACGTATTAACAGTTGAAATTTTCAAACGGATATTTTTCTCCATGAATCCCTTAATTTCCACCGATTTAGAAGAATGGCAGCAATCATCACTAACGATGACATAAATGCCTTCAATGTTTCGAATAAGTTTGGTTTTCTGAATGTCAGCGATAGTGACGATGACGGAAGTTGGCAGAAACCCAAAAAACCAGCTAAACTAGGTAAAAACCAGCTAAATCAGCTAAACTAGGTAAAGAGAATTATTGCAAGTAGCAATATATTATGGTGATTGTTGATATTTCTAGGTCATGATGGGCGTCATGACAGTGACACCTGTTTAGTGTTTATCTGTGTTTATTGTTACTATATTGGCCCATAAATTTAAATAAAATAGATAAAATCAATAATTAGCCATATCTAGAGTGAGCCAATTCACAGGATCCATATCTAACCCCATTTATTTCAGCGAATTCCGCCCCCAAGAAAAAATCCTCAAAACCTCAGACACCCTCCAATGCGAGCTCAGTTGTGGGTCTAAACAGTGCTCCTTCACAGAACATTATCTCCCACCAACCTGCACAACAGGGTCTCAGTAAAAACGCTAAGCGGCGTGCCAGAAAGAAGAAACAGGTTTATATCTGATTAAGAAGTCAGATCTTGTTTTAAACTATTCAGTGTCCTGTGACAATTTCAAACTGATCATATACATCTAATCTCGAGACTCAAATATACTAAAATCGTGAAAAACTTCAGTTGTTTCTTTTTTAATAAGCTGTAACATCAGGCCGTAGCAGAAGCGAATGAGAATGCGACAGAAGACACCGTATCGTCAGCCCCTGTCCCAGCTCAAACAGACGAGGAAATGTTCCAACACCAGCTGGATCAAGCTATACGTATGAGTAAAGTTGAGTCAGTAGAAACTGAGATAAAGCAGCTCACTCAGAAGACATCCCAACATGGTGAGAAAATGTCTTGTTCTATATCCTCTCGAAGAATATAGAACTATTATTCCATTTATAAATTACAAGCTCGCGAATGAGTCGTGGATTAGATTTAAAACTGCAGATTATTGTCTCGTCATTGTAGGTATTTTGAGTCATCTGATGTCTGATATTTAACAGCTTTACATTTCAGATTCAGCCCCGAAATCTAACAAGAAAAAGAAGAAAAAGGGTCCGGCACCAAATGATAATGAAAATGTGAGTTAAATTTTTTGTATATTAAATTCCTCCAATGATATCGATAATCGACGGTATTAAATCTGCAAATTAAATGGACTGGAGTTAACTTGCCGCCATGACCTCAAGGACATTTAAATAACTGCTCTTGGAAACAGAGGCAACATAATATAAGAGCGATGGGTGCGGAATCTTACGATTGTTCTTACACCACACTTTTTTTACACCATCGGCCGTTTTTGTTCTATTAGATTTGTGTACTTCAACTTGGTATCGCTGTTTACAATGAGATAAGATTGACTGTGACATGCCCATAACTATGAACCTTATAAATCCAATCCGAAGATGAACCTTATAAATGTAGTACTAAATGCTCAGGAGTCAGGTAGTACTACTATAACAGTGCACATTCGATACCTTTTAAAGCTTCATGTCAATATTATTTAAGAGATAATTTAAAAGTTTCGACATTCGATAACGATCATACTAAGAATGGAAGTTCGTTCCATAATTTCGCATGACAGTAAATTAATGGTACTCTAGTTCGAGTATGTTATGCTTTGATACTGTTCGCAATATCTGTTATTCGTGTTTTGGGCAGGTGGAGCCAGAAGTAAAAGAGGTGGTAGAAGAGGAAGAAGAAGAGGAAGAAGAAGAGGAGGAAGACTTGTTCGTGCCAGTGATAGATGATATCAAGGATGTTATCAAGAGGATATCTAAAGAGGATGAGATACCCATCACTGATATACCTATTGATGTGAGTAGTATATGTTCTATGTAACACATAGTTCAGATGATGAAAACCAGTTTTAAAACAAGTGAACCGTACCGTATAAGAAACAGACAATAAATTAAAATAGATAACCTATACCATTAGCAATACCACAACATATAACTGTCGTAAATTAATTTATATCAGCTAAAGCAAAGGCTATTATATTATTAAATCTGGTCAAAGAATAAAGCTAAAATTGTTGAAAAGTAGCACATCTATGCTTTAAATCGAACTACGTTTTTAAAATGAAATAAACGACGTTTAAAGAATTATTGATAGCGAAACATCAATCAAGACAAACACCCTCCCTTCCCCTGTCCCACACTCTCAATCTGATAAGACAAACACCCTCCCTTCTCCTGTTTCACACTCTCAATCTGATATGACAAACACCCTCCCTTCCCCTGTCCCACACTCTCAATCTGATATGACAAACACCCTCCCTTCCCCTGTCCCACACTCTCAATCTGATATGACAAACACCCTCCCTTCCCCTGTCCCACACTCTCAATCTGATAAGACAAACACCCTCCCTTCCCCTGTCCCACACTCTCAATCTGATAAGACAAACACCCTCCCTTCCCCTGTCCCACACTCTCAATCTGATATGACAAACACCCTCCCTTCCCCTGTCCCACACTCTCAATCTGGTAAGACAAACACCCTCCCTTCTCCTGTCCCACACTCTCAATCTGATAAGACAAACACCCTCCCTTCCCCTGTCCCACACTCTCAATCTGATAAGACAAACACCCTCCCTTCCCCTGTCCCACACTCTCAATCTGATAAGACAAACACCCTCCCTTCCCCTGTCCCACACTCTCAATCTGATAAGACAAACACCCTCCCTTCCCCTATCCCGCACTCTCTCTCCACCACCCCGCTTGTCTCTTCCCAAAATACCCAACACTGTCCTAACTGTACCAAGTTCGTCACAAAGCACACTACCAAGATGATACGTATCTTGATATTATCGGAGGGTAGTTTCAGCAGGTAATGTATACTGAGTAGTAGGATGTGAAGGGTGGAGATCGGAGAGAGCATTCCCGTGTGTCCGGACTTTTGGTTCTCGTACAACTGTAGTACCTAGTGTTATTCAGTGTTAATTATTATTGTATCTTAGTTAAATCTAGTCCTGTTTTAAAAGTATTTTATTCGTATCCCAGCACTGTTGTCGAACTTTGTCATCAAATGTATATTACACTGAGCATTATATCGTATGGTTAAATACTAAATAGTACTTAGAAGACGTAGTAGTAGTAGTAAAAGTAGTACTATGGTTACCAGAAACTGATCAGAGAAAAGACATAAAGTTCAAGTTATGTAAAGGTCAGGTAATATAATATTCAAGACACTATAATATAATAATATTACTTTATAGTAACCTTGGCAGCAGTAGTATAGATAGGAGTAAGATTATAAAGGAAGTAACCAAGAGACCTGTACCATCTCAACCCAGCACCGACCACCAGGTACAACAGCACCAGTAGTAGAGGTGAGGTTGCTTCTAGAGTTAGAATCAGTAGGTAACCGTGTTGTAATGATGCTAGCACTAGCCCCAGCGACTCTCTGCGTCAGGTTAATGTTTGAACTTAGGAGTTTTCTTAAAACATCATTTGGGTGTTTTTGTTGATATTCGGTTTAATAGTCATTCGAATCAAAGCCCTAAATTCTACAATAGTTTCCCTAAGATTACCGGTCAAATGGATTATGGTTTGTAGCAGCTGCAACTAGGTGGCTGAAACATAGTGCCCCGAATCTGGCTGGGAGGAGACCTACAGAGCACCCGGTCCTTTTCACACTGTACAGCTGGTGTAACTCTCCTGTGGGTACAGTTTGGTTTTCTTCAGAGGGGATTCAAATGTGCCTTGTTACATCGCAATGCTCGTATGATAAGGGCACGGAGAATAGTTCACATTTTATTGAGTTACTTGAAGATGGTGACAGATACATTAGGCTACTGATTGCAAAGTATCTATGTGCATTTTATTTGTATTTTATTTGTATTTACCTCCGTTGTATAACAGAAAGAGTAAAGTAGATGTTATCAGATTCTTGATCGTGACCATGAGAGTATCTGTGGTACCCTCAACAACAACTTGCACACAAAAACAACTTGACAAGCGAGGAGAATGGGCGATATGGTGAACTATTCGTTATGTCCCTACAGCTTGTATTGTGCACGTCCCATATTGCTCTGTGGTATGTATTTCAAAGGGAACAAAGAATGCAGTTGAATAGTATCGAATGTACCCACAATGGTGTTGGTACCACTATTGTCTCGGCCAGGCTCCAAAGTAGGCGGTCTCAACAAATTAACACTGAATACAGGGATATCATATCGTGTTGGCTTACTGGGATTCGTGCGCTAGAACAAAGCATTTTACAGTTAATATAGGACTGCTAATTACTCTGGAGAATACGCCAAATATAGTCTATAGTAATTAGTAAGTGGCTCTAATATTCAAACATTTGGATTTTAAAACATTTTCACAGACGTTTACTACATGCTCTAGCAGCTAAACTGTTGGACTAGTGACAATAATGCATTATTCCATCCTATTAAAACGTTAACGTTCAACACTAAACATTCTGGAAGATGCAGCAATAACTGTTTATAATATTCTATGCGGCTGATAAACAATACCCAATTGTACAACAGTCAACTAGATGACAATTTATCAGAGTGTGAGAGTGGCATTGTTGTAAAATATGAATTATGAATAATGCGTATCGAACGTGAGATATTATGATCGAAACCACTCAACTACTTTATACAAAACGTGTTTCAGTTTAGTTACTAAATACTAACTAAAAATATCAATTAAATATTAAAATCCCATTTCAGAACAGCCAGCTGCTACGAAAGCGCGCCATCGAGCTGCAAGAAATAAATTCAGAGTTTAAACTGAAGCTTAACTCTCTACTACGAGTAGGCTACAAGTACAAGGTAATTATTCCGAATATGAAATACTATACGGGGCTACAGAAAACCTCGAATAACACAAGATTTAGTTATGAACTACAATTTTGTCACGCCACATGGTCCCTGACCCAGAAACTTGATGAACGTTCGATTTTATGATCAGATTTCATAGCTGACGCCTGACGGACTAAATGCATTGTAACACGTATATGTTATAGCTTGAAATAGCGATTACAACTGTTCTAAATTTGAAAAACATGCGGAAACTTAGTGTAAACGTGATATTTCGTATTATTATACGTTATATAAATACGTTATTATACGTTATATAAGTACGTTATATAATGATAACGTATAATATTCTCAGAGGAAATACCAGAAAGAAAAGGACAAGAGCAAACTACTTGGCAAAGTTGTGTCCAGATGCGAATGTAAGTTTACTTACTGAGTTTACCCATCACGGATAACTTACATTAACATTTAATTTCAAACTCATCTTCGTTATATGGTATATCACCAAAATAACAATAAAATAACAATTAACAATTATATCATCAGCACTACCGTTAAACTTGTTGTTTAAAATTTCCCCACTTGAATTATTTTATTAACTGATAAAATGCCCTCGTGTGGTTGATAAAATAAATAACTTTGCAGCGGCTAAGAAGTCTGATCTGGTAAAAACAATACTACAACACGAAGAGACTGAGCAGATCATGACAAAGCAGGTTTGAAGACTCGACTGCTTTTGTTTTACATTCTTTCAGACTTATTTACTTCAGAAAATGAGTTTAACATTCTGGATGTCGGCTAAATTGAATTGTCAGAACTGTATTTTTAGTTTACGAAGGGGGGGGGGGGGGGGGGTGGGGGAGGGGTACTTTTTATCGTTTACAGTCCTTTAAACCGGTTCTATGATGAAATGAATACTTTCAGTGCTGTTTGAATTTATTTTTAAATTAACATTTATGATGATTAATTAACAAGCAAAAGTTTTTGACCCCGCTAAAATGATTCATTTTTCCCGATATGAAGGTATCTTGGACCAATAATTAAGTTCCCTCCCCTCCCCTCCCACCCGTCTCTATTTCTCTGCTCCCAAAATGTGAAATAAGTTATGTCTCATTTTGCTTTTAATTTTGTACGTCCTATCTAAAGAACTGTACTCCTATGGTTTTTTCTTTTGATAACCGATAGGGAATTATTAAAATTTCTTTGCAACTTATTGTTCACTTTCAGATAGAAGAGCTTCTAGAGGAGTTGGAGAAAGAGAGGACTAAGCTTAGTCAACTGCATGCTGAGCGGAAGGTATAAAATGTTAGTCTCAAATCAAGTCAACTGTGTTCTTATCGTCGAGCCAACATCGCACCCTCTATATAATTAAATTTACCGGATGAGATGTTTAAAAAATAAAATATATAATTTTTACGAACCTGCCAAACGCCGGATTTAAGTAAAACTGTGATTCTGATTACAATTTTTGATAAATAATTAAGTCAAACATAATAAACAATGAACACGTTTATTAGATTTATGATCATTACTGATTCAATAGGATGTAACAGGATAATCTGATAATAATAAAAAAACGCGAAAATTTAAATCTCTATTTTACTTAACTTTATCAATCATAATTTAATTTAAGGTTTCGTCCAGAATTATTAATTGGGTTTAATGCCCTACGAAAAGAAAGCGGGGAAATAACAAAGAAAATAATAAAGGAAACGTGTCGATGTATGTATTTGTATCAAAACAAATCGGAAAGTTTTGAACTTGCTATCTTCCTCAGCAGTGATGTGAAGTCAGTTTTCTAGTTTACCCTTGACAGGAGTCTCTGTCTCTCCGTCCTGTTAGTACCGAGCTGATCATCATTGGGAACAGACCATCTCAATTCTCACTAGCATACCAGATACCACCCTGATCAGGGACAAAAGGATTTCGCGGTTATTTTGGCCAAAAATCGCGGCACCGCGACAAGCCAAACTAGGCTAATTCGCGGCTAATTCGCGGCGGGAATTTCGAAAATCGCGGCATATTCGCGGCAAAAAATCTAAAAATCGCGGCGAATTCGCGGCAAAAAATAATGTATTTACAGTGCTTAGTTAGAGTTCACATATTCTTTGACTATTCTATTTGATCGGCTCATGTCCCATGAGGATGTGATCTCATTATATGATGTGATACAGGCTGATGGGGGTCCATAACAACAAGAGCTGCCATAACTTTTGAAATGATCTCAAATGTTGCAATGTCATACGTACTGTATGACATATCTCGTTATCGATACTATATAACTTTCAACAGACGACAGGAGACATCATCATGAACGACCATCTACACTTCACAACTATAGCAATAGAATACTACGAACTTTTCAACCCAATTCCCATATCCCTACCTAGTCTATCCCCATCTAGTATCCAACCTCTACCCCTTGAAGCTTACATCAACCTGGACGACATCCTTACCCCGGCCCCCTGCACGAACCTTCTAGAAGTTCTAACCACATCCCGAGGGAAGCCCATGATTGTTCCTTATGTGGTCTACGACGAGATTACATGCTCTACAAAATAGCTTCCCATTGTCAGCATAAAACGATGATTTGCCAAATTCAGCCACTCTCGTGGAAGCTGTTACATTGCCCTGTTTCGAGCGTTTGCTAGACGAAGGACCAGCCGGTTTGTCGGCAGGCCGTTTGACAAAGCGGTCCATTATAACAAGCGAATACAATACCAAGCGAATAACGATGACGAAATATCTGACGAGTGACGATTCAATAACAACACTGATTTAACATACTGTTCGATTTCTTAATCCATTGTATGTCTTCTGGTCAACTTTATGTCGTTTGGTCAAGTTTTTTATGTCTACTGGTCAACTTTATGTCGTCTGGTCAACTTTATGTCGTTTGGTCAAGTTTTATATGTCGTTTGGTCAACTTTATGTCGTCTGGTCAAGTTTTATATGTCTACTGGTCAACTTTATGTCGTCTGGTCAAGTTTTATATGTCTACTGGTCAACTTCCATATACGATCTCGGAAGGCAGACCTCCCCTTCGCAATACGAGCTCGGAAGCGGGAGCTCCGCCTTCAGAGGTACGTATCGAGAATGACTCGGACAGAAAATTTTCTAAGTCAAAATTTTTCAAAGTTTTTCTGGAAACTACTTTTGTTCATGTTTCATGCTACCCTGATCATTATGAGCCGAAAATATTTTTTCGGTTTTCAAAGGTCACACATACCCTTCGATACACGATTTTGGACTCGAGGGCTCCCCTTGTAATGTGATCTCGGAAGGCAGGCCTCCCCTTCGTTATACGAGCTCGGAAGCGGGAGCTCCGCCTTCAGAGGTACGTATCGAGAATGACTCGGACAGAAAATTTTCTAAGTCAAAATTTTTCAAAGTTTTTCTGGAAACTACTTTTGTTCATGTTTCATGCTACCCTGATCATTTTGAGCCGAAAATATTTTTTCGGTTTTCAAAGTTCACACATACCCTTCGATACACGATTTTGGACTCGAGGGCTCCCCTTGTAATACGATCTCGGAAGGCAGACCTCCCCTTCGCAATACGAGCTCGGAAGCGGGAGCTCCGCCTTCAGAGGTACGTATCGAGAATGACTCGGACAGAAAATTTTCTAAGTCAAAATTTTTCAAAGTTTTTCTGGAAACTACTTTTGTTCATGTTTCATGCTACCCTGATCATTATGAGCCGAAAATATTTTTTCGGTTTTCAAAGGTCACACATACCCTTCGATACACGATTTTGGACTCGAGGGCTCCCCTTGTAATGTGATCTCGGAAGGCAGGCCTCCCCTTCGTTATACGAGCTCGGAAGCGGGAGCTCCGCCTTCAGAGGTACGTATCGAGAATGACTCGGACAGAAAATTTTCTAAGTCAAAATTTTTCAAAGTTTTTCTGGAAACTACTTTTGTTCATGTTTCATGCTACCCTGATCATTTTGAGCCGAAAATATTTTTTCGGTTTTCAAAGTTCACACATACCCTTCGATACACGATTTTGGACTCGAGGGCTCCCCTTGTAATACGATCTCGGAAGGCAGACCCCCCCTTCGCAATACGAGCTCGGAAGCGGGAGCTCCGCCTTCAGAGGTACGTATCGAGAATGACTCGGACAGAAAATTTTCTAAGTCAAAATTTTTCAAAGTTTTTCTGGAAACTACTTTTGTTCATGTTTCATGCTACCCTGATCATTATGAGCCGAAAATATTTTTTCGGTTTTCAAAGGTCACACATACCCTTCGATACACGATTTTGGACTCGAGGGCTCCCCTTGTAATGTGATCTCGGAAGGCAGGCCTCCCCTTCGTTATACGAGCTCGGAAGCGGGAGCTCCGCCTTCAGAGGTACGTATCGAGAATGACTCGGACAGAAAATTTTCTAAGTCAAAAGTTTTTCTGGAAACTACTTTTGTTCATGTTTCATGCTACCCTGATCATTTTGAGCCGAAAATATTTTTTCGGTTTTCAAAGTTCACACATACCCTTCGATACACGATTTTGGACTCGAGGGCTCCCCTTGTAATGCGATCTCGGAAGGCAGGCCTCCCCTTCGCAATACGAGCTCGGAAGCGGGAGCTCCGCCTTCAGAGGTACGTATCGAGAATGACTCGGACAGAAAATTTTCTAAGTCAAAATTTTTCAAAGTTTTTCTGGAAACTACTTTTGTTCATGTTTCATGCTACCCTGATCATTATGAGCCGAAAATATTTTTTCGGTTTTCAAAGGTCACACATACCCTTCGATACACGATTTTGGACTCGAGGGCTCCCCTTGTAATGTGATCTCGGAAGGCAGGCCTCCCCTTCGTTATACGAGCTCGGAAGCGGGAGCTCCGCCTTCAGAGGTACGTATCGAGAATGACTCGGACAGAAAATTTTCTAAGTCAAAATTTTTCAAAGTTTTTCTGGAAACTACTTTTGTTCATGTTTCATGCTACCCTGATCATTTTGAGCCGAAAATATTTTTTCGGTTTTCAAAGTTCACACATACCCTTCGATACACGATTTTGGACTCGAGGGCTCCCCTTGTAATGCGATCTCGGAAGGCAGGCCTCCCCTTCGCAATACGAGCTCGGAAGCGGGAGCTCCGCCTTCAGAGGTACGTATCGAGAATGACTCGGACAGAAAATTTTCTAAGTCAAAATTTTTCAAAGTTTTTCTGGAAACTACTTTTGTTCATGTTTCATGCTACCCTGATCATTATGAGCTGAAAATATTTTTTTCGGTTTTCAAAGGTCACATACGCTTCGATACACGATTTTGGACTCGAGGGCTCCCCTTGTAATGCGATCTCGGAAGGCAGGCCTTCCCTTCGCAATACGAGCTCGGAAGCTCCGGAAGCTCGGAAGCTCCGCCTTAAGAGGTACGTATCGAGAATGTACCTACAATCGGAACTCACGGACGGCTGCAAATGTGATTAGTTTCATATTATACTTAATACTTGTAGAAAACGTGACATTTGGCCCGCAGATTTTATGGAAAATACGCAAACTTGGTCCTCAGATTTAAAGGAAAATGCACAAATTTGGTCTTCAGATTTAAAGGAAAATGCGCGATTTTTCGCGGAGGACTGAAAAAATCGCGATTTGTCGCGGAGAATGGGAAATTTCGCGATCTGTCGCGGAAAACGTAAAAAATCGCGATTTGTCGCGGAGAATGGGAAATTTCGCGGTTTCGTACATGCCGCGAAATCCTTTTGTCCCTGACCCTGATCCTGGACGTAAGGAACTCCCGGAAACTAGGAAGAGTGAGAATGTAGATGTAGAAGTTGGAGACTGTGTTCAGGAGGACTACATACCATACATACCTGTAAAAGTGGACGTGGAACCCTCCTGATAGGTTCTCACTTTGACTTACAAACTTGTCGCACATGTGACATGTAGTAGATCGCAGTTGGAAGGACAGTCAGACAGTAGAAGGTTGCAGTGAGCAGCACTACCATAACCCCCGGCCACTGGAGTCCACCCGGGTCTCTTTCAGTTATTCTCTTTGCTAGAATCAATACAGCATAATACTGCTCACAATCGTTATTGCTGAAGCGATGATTCCAACCACTCCAATAGTGATGCAGAAGGCAGCGTACTCAAATGATGTCCAAAGCAGCTCAGAGCAGAAATAGTCGAAGTTGTAAACCAGGAAGCTGAAGTAAACCCCATCTTTATCCTTTATAAGTGCCATCGTTGGGAAGCTCATGCAGAACATTAGAATAGCGAATGATACCAGATGAGCATCTTTTCTTGAAAAGTGGAGCTCCCTGAATGGAAACATTACAATCAGCAGTTTGGACAAAGCTAGTGCGCTTAGAAGCAGATTAGCTGCTCCTCCAAAGCTGCACGTAGCGAAGTATCCTAATGAACAGAGAAAGTTCCCAAGAATGTTCCCAATGTCCTCAACGAAACTGCACCAGGTAGGATTCTAAATATGGAGATCAGCAAATCAGCCATAGCAATATACTGGATAAATACCACCATGATCTTGTGGAGCCTCACGGCGTTGTATTTTAAGGACCCTATCAGAATGAGCGTGTCTTCAATCAGGGAGGATACAACGAGGAGGGAGCTGTATGCTGTGAGAACCTGTCTTTCAGATTCGTTGTGAAATTTCCATACTTTGTGTAGTTGTCGTACTTAATGACTTCATCTCTACACTGGAATCTTATGATAGAACTTAGAGTTAAACAATCACCAACTCGAACACGAATTCGAAATGTTAACGATAAATTCACGAATTTTGATTGAGGTTTTGTGCTAAAATAGAATCGTGAATAAGGAATTTGAGTTCCCGGAACTAAAAAAAAGTTCCTGGTAACTTATAGTAACTTATACAAAGTTATAGCAAGTTGGGTTTATAATTACGATTATGTGGCTCTATACCCACAAAATCGTATGAAATGTTTGCTAAAACAGAATCGTGAATAAGGAATTTGAGAGAGTTCCCGGAACTAAAAAAAAGTTCCTGGTAACTTATAGTAACTTATACAAAGTTATAGAAAGTTGGGTTTAGAATTACGATTTTGTGGCTCTATACCCACAAAATCGTATGAAGTGTTAGCTAAAACAGAATCGTGAATAAGGAATTTGAGAGAGTTCCCGGAACTAAAAAAAAGTTCCGGGTAACTTATACAAAGTTATAGAAAGTTGGGTTAGAATTACGATTTTGTGGCTCTATACCCACAAAATCGTATGAAATGTTAGCTGAGCTCGTATTTACAGTAAGGATGGCAATATGAGCTTTAGATCATAACAGTAACTCGTAGGATTGATGTAGAATGAGGTCATGTACTTTGTACATTATTCTTTATGGTGTACGATGTTCTTGGTAGTTTTAGTACCCAAGTCGGCGTGGTAACAATTACCTCGCTAGTAAAGAAACTTACCGATAGAGGAGTAGGTGAACTCTACTGGTGGGGACCACAAAGGTACTACTCACCGTAACACTCTGCACCATACCAGCTTCTGCTATTCTTGTAGTGGTGCATTCCTTAGACTTACAACTCATACCTTTAGCTTGTATCATGGTTTATCTGAGACTTTCTGAGTCTCTACATTCTTACCATTCTACATTCTACTCTCTTACCATGTACAGTTTCTGGGAGGCAAGGCTAAACTGAACAACATAACTTTTCGATTGATATCAATAAAAGTGCAATACATAGGTACATGGTCTCTTTATATTCGGGAAATTTTTAATGACGTAACCAGATTAATACTAATTTTGTGAACAACTTTAAATGATACTTAATAATAATATGTTGTATGTGATGGGAGTATTATTCGACATCGTTTCGGTAAACTTGCTAAACATTCAGAATATCATATAAATATTATATACATATCCCCCATATCATATATAGCTCTGGATAAATATTGCGGTTTTATTTGGTAGGTATAATGAAAATCATCCCAAAATCATTCAGTACAATTTGTATTTCAGGGTGGCGCAGTCAAGAAAGTCTCATTCTCCTCCGATACCTAAACTCCAGATGTCCCAATACTTCTACATTGTGCTCATCTAACGGCTTTCAATGAACTGTATTGTCGTTTTTATTTTGTCGGTTTCACTGGTGATAATTTGTTAGTTCTCAAAAACTTCCCTTCGCTAGTTCATTCGTCCCAATCGTTATTTAAAGTTTGAGATCTATGTTTTATATTGATCTTCTGTTTTTATATTTTATCTCCAAACTAATTTATTATTGCAAATGTATATGATCGTTTACATGGTTGAAAAAGCAAATATAATGATATAAAAATTAAAATAAATAATTAAAAATGAGGATAAATTAATTAATCGAACCTGTCCATATTTGATACATATTTTGTCTCATGTCACAAAGTCACAAGACCAAATTTGTAATTAGATAACGTCGTGGCGACCGTCCCACATGCTGCCCCCAAGTGCTGCCCCCACGTGCGGCCACGATGCGGCAGCACGTGGGAATGGGAAGAAGTTGGAGACGTGGTGCAATATTCGATAATCGTACGATGGGAGTCAGGATTGGTTGACTGGTTGTGTGCGTGTTTTGATAAAATTTAAGAACTGAGTTTTGGGGTATTTCTCTTTAAATACAGGGTGGGCCAAAAGTCAGTGTGCAAACGTTGGGTCTTATACCTCCGCCGTGTTTTATATTTGAGAGCTGTTGCTTTGCAGATGGCATACTGTACTTACTGGTTCGAGGATTCCGTCGTCAAAATTTGAAAATTCGAATATTTTAGACCACGCCCATTCAATATTAAAACACCTATATTGTTTTCTCTGAACATGCTGAACGCCTAATTTTTTCAGAGACGGTAGATTATCAAATGTTGCATATGATCTGAAAACATGAGGCAAAACGGATTAGAAATGACGAAGTTATCAAGCATTTTGTGTATCTCGTTAACAAAATTGACTGGGTGATTATGTGACACCGTGACACGACACCTTAATTGGGCACCCTTAACAATTCCCATAATGTTTAACGGGGTAGTTAACGGGGTCACCTTATCACGTGATTAGGTAAACCAATCACCTGATCACACGTAATGAATAAACTCGTTATGCTTCATATCTCGGTCATCTGAGAAGCTACAGTTCTAATTCTTTCAGGACAAACGTAATTCGAATGGCCAAACACAATTCAATAACATTTAGGCTTAGCTTGATCCGACTATCCTAACAATCAAATAAATGTGAAAATGAACCTCCATTTGGAAAAAATGAACGCGAATATTTTTCGAGTTGACAAATTCCTCGAACCAGTGGTGGTACTAAGTCATACCAGAAGGAAGTATTTCAATTGGGCACTCAGTGACTGAGCTATTAAGGCCAACGTTTGCACACTGACTTTTGGCCCACCCTGTAGTACTAGTAGGTACTGAGTTGTACGTTTAGTCGGGATACTGGATTTTCGAGGGGAAAATCAATTGAGAAATGGTATCTTATCTAGCGTATAGTTGGCACTAATTTGTCAGACTAATATAAATAAGTGTGTCCGCCGTCCGGTCCTAAGTATGGCAACAGCAAACAGGAGCCGAATTTGGCTAAACTAAGCCATAGGGCCGATGGGAAAAAATTATACCACAGCTGCGAAAAGCTGGCTTATTAATTTCGAGCTTTTACTTTAAATCTATCGTAATTTTGAGCTTATATAGCGACCAGTTTTTCGTGTTATATTAAGCATAAAGAATAAAGATAAAGACACGTAAACTAAGCAATACACAATATAAACTCATGCTATTGAATCTAGTGACGTCACTGGAAAAATAAAAACAGCAATATTCTCGTCCCACAGTTTAACCGTGATGTCTGCACATGCTGCACTGCTGCTTCTGGCGCCTCTCCAAGTCCAAAATGAGCCTGATTTCGAGTCAGATTATGTTGACTTCTCCTGAAACTGTGTCATGTGATTGAGTATGGGCAGCCACATTAACACTGACTCTTTGGACAATACCGACACGTTAAAATGTATATTGTTCATTAATCAATATTTTGATGGTCCTCTTCTGGATCACGCAAACTTGGGAGGTCCAAACTCAAAATAATGTAAATATTATACCATCCTGACGAAGACTGCTTATTTTAGAGTTGCCGGTTGTCCTATAATATGTAGCACACATTCGTTATTATTACTATTAGACGTAAATTCATAGAACAATTATCAGGATTTCATGAATAATGAATATGTCTGGGCTCATGACAAAACAATATAATTATAATTCAAATTGTTTAGGCTTTAGGGAAAATCTTGTGACTACGAGATTTTCCTAAACACTTCCCATAGAAACATTTTTGAGTCTATTATAAACCTGCACATATTACTAATACTATTAGGTGTATTTACAATATAATTCTAAGCGAGGCCACGTCAGTACTGTTTGAATAGTTAGAGAAAGAATAGCATAGTCTGTTTCTCTACAGGAATGTTTCGAAGATTATGGTTTTAATCTACAAACTTGAGAAATATAATTATAATATTCGGTAAGAATTAATGCTTTTAATTTATGAAAGATCAAAGATGATACCCGCGTATGCCGTATAATATTTTATTTGAAATATTGCGAAGCAACTTGGCTTAAAGTTATAATGTATAACTATAAGACTCAAATCTACAACAATAAACAATGTACCTATCAATTTCTTTTTTATGATAAGTCGATTTCTTAGTTCTTGAACAATATATTATTCGGTAAAAATTGCTCTTTGTCGATCAAACTCTATTGTGCCAATCTTTCCATCTAGATTGTCAAGCTAATTGTTATCTAAGTATCTAACAGTAGGAGATCTTGTGACATGCCTATGCACTGAGGCCGTATGGTCACACTCACAGGTCATTATTACCATTCTTTTATCAGCCGTACTGATTCGATTTGTAAGAGGCAGTATCATAAATTAGATATGATTGTAGGAGGTATTGTTCGACCCGATTCTATCCTGTTCGCGCGCCTTCACAGTTTGACTGTCCACAGTGTTACTGCTACCCATGTGCAACATCAAAAGATACTAAACATCTTTATACGTGATCCCAAACATTGCGTGTACAGAAATTGAAAACGACGTTATGCTCATCAAAGTCTTGTACAGTTATAGTAAGCATGATATGTTTTGAGAAGCAGTGCACTACATGGTTTAGTTTGACGCTAGTCTCTTCTTGATAACTTGCTGAAAGAGTCTTATAGCTGTTGATGTGTTAGTTTCGTTAGTATGGTTTTTACTAAGCTGACAATTGATATTCAAAATCGCTTCCGGATTTAGGATTATGTAGGGTTTCTCGCATCGTGCATCGAAACTATTTTATTAGGTTAAAATTTAAGTGCTGCTCCATGCCTGCGCCTTCAAATTGATTTAAGAGTTGACCTTATATTTACAGTCACAATGGTTTTTATTAACGATGTTTTAGATTGATCTAGTTAGCAGAGCTGATATTAAGTATGCCTGGTGATGTTGAAGTTGACCCAGGTTTTGAACTGTTCAACAAGACTGCGTATCCGAGCTTTGGAGGAGGACCTTCATTGATACTTCCCTTGCTCCTTTTTATCGTCCAGGTATTTAGTAATAGTTTTACATGGAACTATATAGGTGCCACTTTAATTGTCGAAATGTTTATATTTTGTGAGCCTTGAATTGTGTGGTAGACAATTAGTGTGAAAACATAAAAATACCCTGTCGAGAATCGAGATACTAGATAGCTCTTATGTTCATGTTCAGGCTTAAGGGGGCCGGGGGGGGGTCTTCATCAAAATTATCTCGAAATCGACTTTATAGTTGTTTCTGATAGAGGGGAGTGATATCTATCAGCTGCTTTTGGTTCTATCACTATGAAAAATATTGTTCCTAGCCGAAATTATCGCCGGTCTAAGGTCAGCGCTTATTTACCTGGGGACCTCAGCACTCAGGCTATTTAATTATGTTCATAAACATAATAGAGATCCGAATAGATAAGAGATTTTGCGGAATGACAGGCTGAGCGCGGCCCAGTAAGCGCTTATTAGTCTAACTCTATGTAATAAGCGCCATGAGCTGGCACAGAATTTTTTGTCTCTGATTTTGATAAATTTGGTACCAAAAGGTGCCTCTAAGTGTGAATAATGAAAATTCACCGTGTAGCACGATAACGTCGAGCTGTATGTGGGCCTTTTGTGCATTGCATCGCAAGAGTGTACAAAGGACGAAAAATGGCTAATTTATTGCTTAAAATGCCTATAACTCCTAACATATTGAATATTTTGAAATAATAAAAATTTTTGAAAATAATTTTCCTTTAAATCTTAAAAGATTAGTATTAAAAGTTTCGTCTGGATGAGCTGATTACGATGCCATAATAATTATGTGATAACAAATGAAAATGTGAAAGTTATAGGCCAAAAACTAAAAATTTGCGCGAAAAAAGCACGCGCGGCGAACAAGCGCCGTGTAGCATTTTTAGCGAAAATTGCTACACGGTGGATTTATTTTGTTCACATTTTTAGACAACTTTTGGTACCAAATTTATCGAAATCGGAGAAAAAAAGTTATGTGCTCGCGCTTGGCGCTTATTACACTGACTATATGTGTAACTGTAATTGTATGGTATTGCGTTGATTCACGATGTCAATCCTTCACATCTCGCCGATCTGCATACGAGAAGCATTATTTGATGCGCGCGCGACCCAGTAGTGCATCGCGCTACAAGGTATTGCGCGAACGATTTTCAATCGCAAATTCTGAAAATCGAGTCTAAAACTCTATCTTCTCCCACATTTTTTGAGTGATCACCCTGAAACTTTTAGGATATGTTCTAGGGACCATTTAGAAGAGATCAGTCATACAAAATTTTGAGATAGGCCTTTAAAAAATTTTTATTCAATTTTGAAAATCTTAGACCTCAAAAAATCGTTAAAAAATTTTGATGAAGACCCCCCCCCCCACCGGCCCCCTTCATTCATAATTTGAGACTTGGATGAATTTAATTATGTATTCTGCTTCAGGTTGCATTGCTACTAGTGATGTGTTATAAAAACATAATTGAGGAGAAGGAAAAAGCGGCGTTGGTACTGCAAGCTTATACGGCTTCGGTGGTCTCAAAACCAAACAACAATACGACCATCGAGTGAGATGCGTCCAAAATCTGTGAGAGCGATTCACCATCTACTTCAAAACAAAATGAGAAATGGCTTCATGCTGAGGTGAGAACTCAGTGCAAGTGGAGACAAATTCATCCGGAGACTGTATCAATTAATTCTAGTTCTGTGGTTGACTATACTCTGACTTAGGGAGGATTCACATAGTACGTCCTAAGGGGGTTTAGGGGGGGGGGGGGGGGGGGGTGGAGAGTTCAAAATGCTGACATGACGATAAATTTATTATAAATATAATTTCCACATAATAGCGATTTGAAAAATTTCTGGGAAGAATAGGAGTCTGTAATAATAATATGTGAATGGTTCCTCAGTAATAGTACAGTACCGAAGAATACCGAAGATACCCCTAGTCCTTCTTTTTCATATTTGGCTACTGTAAGTTGCACTTGCAGTTACAGTTGTAAGAATTATGTGCAGTGCCTGATCGAGGCCTAGGTTTGGGGTACTACGTAAATCAGAAGCGTTTTATTTATCAAATTAGATTTGAAATATGTTCGTTTTATTCTTTTTGAAAGTTTATTCGTTTAAATCTAACGTTTTAGGCTGTCCTTTGACCATGATTTGAAATAATTATAAAGCGGAGCTGAGAGTCTTCTGTATGTGTGAACACTGAACATGATTGATTTGACCGATTGTTCTACTTCTACTGATCATTCGGCCAGTACGTGCATTTCGACTGATGTGCACACTTGCAACTGGTAGTGGTAAGCTGTAATCCTACAGGTACAAACAACTACAAAGCTGCAGATTGTGTTCTGAGGGTCACGTGCCCAGGTTAATTTATCACTGCCCGGTGATCGTGCTGACATGAGACCACTAAATACAATGAAGCTTTTTATACCATTATCAGCAATAGAGTTGAACCATCGCTCATAGTTCATATCATAGTAATTTAAAGTTTAAACTCTTTAGTTCATCGTAAGTTAAACTGTAATTCAGTCACAAAAATCAAGGACACAAAATTATGATACAATGGGAACAAATTATTCATAATTGTTAACAAAAGATTTAGAATTGTAAACAAAATAATATTGATAATTACATGTATTTGCAAATTACGAAATTAAAAACCCATTCCATTGACAATTGATTACTCACATAGTTTGTACTATTGAGTATCTGTATCAATATATTACAAAATATTTTCATTTGGGAAAACGAATTTGTACCTACCTAATAATGTATAAACCAGTGCTCTTTGGAATACAGAATAGAGAAAGACCGATCAATTAAGTGAGATTGGTACAGGCCGATTTAATGGAGGGTATTCATCACTTTAAAGTTTTCTGCTCCTTTGAATCTGATCATAATCACTGCACCAGTACCTGCCATTTCATTTCCATTTTATCTATTCACCATGCTCTTCGACTTTTCCATTAATTATAATGAAGGAGATAATACCCAACTTGAGTAAAATATCACCATTTTAAACATTCTATTCGATTTTGGTTGACAGTGGAACTCTGATACCACAGTATCTAGTACCAGGGACTAAAGGGTAGTTTGTTTAGGAGTTTTCCTGACAGTAACTGGATGAGGGCCTGATCTGGTAATGATGTTAACCAGCGTGGAGGTCATCACTTGTGCCTGAAAATAAACATTTAATAGAAATGGTGTAGAATTATTGTCATGATTTTAAACTCCGCTATTCCGCTATGATTATTTAAATAAGTTCAGTGGGGTCAATGTTGAAATGTTGAAATGTTGAAATGTTGAATTGTTGAAATGTTGAATTGTTGAAATGTTGAAATGTTGAATTGTTGAAATGTTGAAATGTTGAATTGTTGAAATGTTGAATTGTTGAAATGTTGATAGTTCAATTTGAATTGTGGTAGTTAGTCGTTCTTGTCTGATCCATAAAATGTTATCAAGTCGTCATGCATACTAGGGCAAAATACCAAAAATATTGGGAGACAAAGGATAACTTTACCCAGTCTGCTGTTAGCAAAGCTATGAGATCTGACAATCCTGCTTAAACTTGGCAAGTTGTCATTCTCAATGCTTGTCTGTTTGGTTGTCACGTTGTCACTGATCTGTCGTCTTATTTTCCTGGTCACAGCTCTAGCTGTTTTTATGTCGTTTAATACCTCCAGTATGTCTCGTCTTTCTTCTTTGCAAGCTCGCCTCATTCGGACGTGTAAGTAGTCTGTCAACTGTCATTTTTGGTTTTTAAAGGAAAAACCAGTTCAATAACAATTTATTCAAGTTCAATCACTTTAATATTGATGCTGATATTTCTCATGGAATAAAAACATATTAGCCATGTGTATGTGCTTGTAGTTTTACTTCAGCGATCAGCAATTTTTGCATGTTAAATTTTGCATATCAATTAATGTGCTCATAGTGAAGTGTCCTAGAGGCTGCTTGAGAATTTCGTCGCAATCTTATAATCACCTCGCGTTCCACATCATCCACGTTGGGTTCCTCATACTTGTACAAGCCAGGGTCACTTGAGAAGCTTGTTCTCATATTATCCACACTATCGTCTCCGTCCGCCTCGTCCTCTTCTTCTTCTTCAATTAGTACCGCGATCCTGGCGTCTTCTCTTTTTTGTCGAGATGTCATTATGTGAAGCTGGATAAGCCTCTTTATCAGTGCTATGTCCTCCCCTTTTAGATATGCCTGAAAGTGGAAATTTAGACTAAGTTTCAGAAACATAGTCCTACTGAAGTTTTGGTAAAAATGTTGGAGCAAATCCGATTCCTATCAGCAACTGTGATCGTTATTGGTGTCACTGATTACATCGAATTATCGCTTCAGTCTATCATGCTAAGTTGAAGGCATGGTGCAATGCTTTTCTGCATGGCGCTGGTATGGTGCTGTTAACCATAATACAGTTGTGGAATGTGGTACGGAAGATATAACTACTAAGTAACGGTTAAGGTTTCTTGGGCATGGCCCATGGGAGATGCTACTGGCTTCTTTGGCAGGTTACCAATAATAATAATAATACCATACAGTAGATCCAAGAAATGGTGATTACAAACGTTCACGCCACTGGTTCCACTAGAACCAATTTCAGATAGCACCATTTATACCACCCCTCAATTCTTGAGGGGTGGCTTTCGAAATGTGATCAAATTGGTTTTTAGATATATTGTGCGAGCTGCGGACAAAACTGACGAATAAGTATTAAATAGCGAAGGAAAATATATCAACAAGCATATGTTATGTCAAGCTTTCTGGGTGCTATAAGTGTACAACAGTAGTAGCAGAAGGATTTATAGTTATGAAAGGAATAGCAATAACTTACGATCTCCTCAGTGAGGTAAGCTAGCTGATCATTGATGACCTTGAACTCCTCCTCCTCATTAGACTGGGTCATACCTGTAATTAGTGGGGAATTATTTCGAACCATTTTAAAACTGTTATAAATTTTTTAAATAATTCAACTGATGAAATGTGTGTGCAACTATGTTGTCACTTCAGAAATTGATTTCCTTTTCAAGGCTTCAAGATAAATGGGCGATAACGCATCATGGTGCATTTCGATACATAATAATTCAATAATAATTCAATTTCATCAAACTTGCAGGCCGAGCCAAGAAGATTTTGTATAACAAATACGAAAACCAGTTACAAAACTTAATACACTAAGTGACTGCTTGGATTTGATAAAGAGAATTGGAACAATATACAGTAGAATATCAATATACAGTTTGTCTTTGTACCGGGTACCTCGATATACCGGGCTTCTTCTTTGTTCTTTCCATAAAACTTGTAGTTAATTAGCTCGTGTTGTGCAGGAAATGTGATTAATAATACCGTAGCACATATCAAGCTGTATTACATCTCAATACGACATAATACAATAATACATGTATATAAGGCCCTAATGGAGCTGCATAAGATACGCTTGACAGGTTATTTGAGAGGCAACAGAAACTGGGGATTGTAATCACGTGAACCTCTCTAAGTCTACCGGATTTTTTCTATACCGTGCACTTTTTTTTCTCCTGAGAGGCCGGCTGGTTATATATAGACGTTTTATTTAACAACAAAAATTGTGATTCCTCGTAGTAGACTGATTGAAGAAAAGTAAACAGGTACAAGACACAGAAATTGACTTGACGAAGCTTTTAAAATTGTTCAACAAAATTGAAGTAAGCTGCAAGAGAAATGTAAGGGTACACAGGCCGTACTGCCGTGAAATAATTACCGGTTGGTGGCACTCGCACTTTCCGATTCAAAATATCTGAATGGAACGTGAGTGTGCGTAACATGACACCACCGTCCGTTTCTTGAAACTCATTTACACGTCAATAATAAACTAAAACAAGAGATGGTACACAGCCTAAAACAACCCTCGACAAATTAAAAATATATAGGTTTCTAATTTTGATATCAGCTCGAGGTTTCATCAGGTCATTAAAATTATATTAGTGATGGCCATTTTGTCAGTTATCGATTACGACAAAGAGAAATTTAAGACAAATTAGGCAACGATTATATTATAAATCTATTGTATTATTATTCAAATTATATAACTCAATCTGAATTTCAACAGCTTCAGATAGGAACTATTAAGTAATAGGATACAATGAAGTATAGTAGGTACATGGTTATACTTATAGAGTGATAATAATCGCACAACTGACGTACAGATAAATGCATGGCCGGATGACTAGTGACTAGGGATTCCAAGGAATATTTACACGAATGAGGTCAATGTTAAGGCCTGAGTACAACAGAGGTCTGCAGCAACACTAACATGGAAATGTATCAGAATATTTCCGCTAGGAACTAAAATTTTAAATCTAGGTACTAAATATGAGGACTTGTAAAGCAGGAGCAAAGCTAGGCTTGCGTGAAAATTAACCACATTTATATTATGCTGAATCATATTAATATTATGTAAGCAGTGCTGTCATGATCTTATAGAGGCAATTGGGGACAGGGGCGTAGTTTTAGTTAATTTATTCGTAAGGAAATATAAATGCTATCGTCAATGCTATCCAAAAGTCGAAACCTACTTATATAGTATAAGAGCAATCCTATCTAGATCTAATATATGAGCATATTGTGACTGTAGGCTGCAACTGAGAGTAAATGTATTCCAATTCCCAGTGTACAAGATTACGAATGATCAATATAACTTCTAATAATATCGCATTCCCAATTCCTAATCCACGTTAATGTGCATGGTGAATGACATGAGTGGTGACCACTAGTGAGTAGCTAAGTGCTGAGACACACTCCTACGTGTTATAATAGGATCCACAGTCTTGATGATGTTACAATTTACATCAGCACCAGAAGTAAGGAAAATTGTAAATTTTATGGGAAGCCGCGGATTTTTCTTCTTCTCGGGACGGGCTCAATCATTACTAGGGACAGCTTGCTCTGCTTCACTTCCCTCGGTACGTGGTGCACTCTGCAGCTGATAATATGCAGCAGAGTGCAGACAATAACATTGATTATAGAGTTAGAGCGCGACTATACGGCAGTCTGCCAACTATAATTGGCTGTTGTCTAGTCTGCACAGGCTTTAACTACCTATTATAAATCCATTGACTAAATTCATCTATAAGTATAAGCTAGGAATGACACACTTACGCAAATAGAGTGGTTTCGTTTATATTCACAGCTATCAGTATTCAGTATTACTGAAATATTTAGATAAATCACGTGACCATTAAATTGAACTTTAAAAGATGTGAGCGTGCATTCCAGATTCGTTTGAATGATATAATTTACGATTGATGTCGATCAGTTGAACTTAAATCTTTGGACCTAATGTTTGAGAATAGAAGGACCGTCCTGATTAGTCACTGATTACTGTGGGCGATTTTCGAAATGAAACATAAATTAGTATAGATAACAGAACGTATGTTTACTGTTATCTATGTGGGAAGTAGCCGAATTACAGACACTAATTTCCAATTCATCCCCAATGAAAGGTTAGCTACGAATACTGTGGGGGGGGGGGGGGGGGCTACTGTGTATTCTTAGCAAGACTCTACACGCTTCAGGATCCTGAACGCACGAATAAAGGAGTTTGTTGATCTGCAGGGCTAGTGCTCTGAGGAATAAAAATAGGGTTCAGTCTATGAGGAGATGACTAATTACTAACTAAAGCCTATATATAGTCAATAGGGTACCCGCCCCTAATCCTATAGCACAAAGAGAAAAAGATTCAGGCATATCATATCTATATTCTATATCTGTCGGATATAAATTATAAATAGAACCCCCGTTATACTTATATTGGACTTGGAGAAGGCCAGTTTCAAAAATTAAGCTTAATGCGAGCAGACACTGATAACTTTGAAGGGTCTGTTTACTGTTAGTGCTACTGCTATGATATGAGTAAAATGATATGAACAATTGACGATATCGATTATGTTCCGACTCAACGGGGGGATTGGGAACGCAACGACCATTAAATTTAATGACCATTAATGACAATGTCAGTATTGGCAAAAAAATGCTGAAATTAATGGTCGTTGCGCGTACCCCCCCCCCCCCCCCCGACTTAACACTACCTTTACAAAATCAAGAAGTAGGAGCATTTTGATAATAATGTCTTGCAAGAGTCGAGCCCCACCCCAAAATGAGGGGGCGTGCAGAATGAACAATTACATTTAAACAGAACACATTCTTTAGAACGGAATGATATAAAGAGCACTATCCAATGAGTAGCCTGTAGCACACTACCTACACACTACTACTAGACAGGTACACCAGAGGAACCAAATACACACATAAACCAAGTTAGGCGCTACTAAAATAAGCAGGACTGTGCATTAAATTCGAGCCAGAGTCCAGTAAAAATGAAGCTTAAAGAGCACATTCGTGTTGCATGCGCTCGACCTGATTACCGTCAAGGCTGATTATGTTCTTATGCCATATTTGAGCAATATAACTCCCGAATAGTTACTCTTGTGTGTGTACGCTGCTGCTGCAGCCTGCAGCGTGCATTTTCACGACAAACGAGTTTCAGGGAAATTATTGGCGAATTCTTAATGTGGCCACTGTTACTAACAATTTACCAACTAATCTGGCTACTAACAACAACACTGAGGTCTGAGTAGCTTACTCTAACGAGTCCTAGATGTATCAATGTACAATGCAACCTTAAAATACAAGTACAATAGTACAATGAGCCTGGAGCCTAAGAAAAGGGGAGAGAGAGGGAGAGAGAGAGGGTGTACACTGTACAACTACAAGCAAGCTCATTACTTCATTAGAAAGCTGTCTGCAGCCCTGCTCTCACAAGGTATCTGGATCATAACATATTAGTGGTAATATTGTGTGTGTAATAGAACAATTAGTCATAGGTTCACGCATCATGAGGCTAGGACAGGTGCAACACATGGTGCAGTGTGTAAAGGACTCTGATCTGTAACACTGCAGAAACATTACTCTGAAGTAGTGTGGTAGTTGTCAGACTGGGGATCTGCATGCAATAATTTTATAGAGCTCTTCCTGTACACCTCCTGTACAGTGTACACCTCCTGTACACCTCCTGTACAGTGTACACCTCCTGTACAGTGTACACCTCCTGTACAGTGTACACCTCCTGTACAGTGTACACCTCCTGTACAGTGTACACCTCCTGTACACCTCCTGGTATAGAGGAATGAGAACGTCATGAGTAAAACATGTAAACAAGTTAGCAACTGTCAGGGCTACTCATGATGCACTAACAGCATATTAGTCTAATATTACAATCATCATCAGTCTAATAAAGTGTACACTGTTATACAACACTGCAAATCTACACAAACCTAGCAGGAAATGGAAATAAAGAGACAGAGAAAACGGTAAGACATCACTTTATATAAGGGGTAATGAAGAACAGTGGCATGGTACTAGTACTAGCTGTACAGGGCATATAAGGACAAGCAAAGAAACTAGAGAGCTTACCGCGGGTAGGGTGTGAGTTAAACACACTGATAGCTGAAATATTACCTCAACACGAAAGGTCCGCAAACTATGTAGTTTGGCTATTAAAAGTGTGCTACGTCATGTTTAGTGTCCAACACTTTACCTTATCAGCAGCTGTAAACGGATAACAGTTTAATTCGAGATGGAAATGTGGAATAGTACACTACTAAGTAAAACGCTTTCCTTAACAAAATACAGTAACATGATTTAAAACCAACATTATATCGACCATTATTAACATTTCGTCGAGTACGCAATTCATTATTAAAATTTACTAGCTGGATACGGTCCAATAAAACTTGAAATTGAATCCGAGCGCAACATAGCACAATTTACATTAAAATCAAAGTAAATAGTTAAATTCTGATTCTGTATTGATATGCAGACTTTGTACATATTTTAGATTTTACTTTGACGATCATCGAAAAATCTTTAACACAACTCAAAAGGTATCAAGTCTTACCATATCAAACAAACACAACGCCAGACTGGGCATTTTGAAATCGTGTCGGCTCCTTACATATTGATCAAATCCTCGGGCGAATCTCCGTATTAATTAATTAACTCCATCGCCAAAATCAGGCCTGTACATCATTTAGAACTCTAAAAAAAAACGCCATGAAGGCATCAAATTCGTCATCCGTTGTCAGAGGTCTCATCAAAAATATTCTTAGATTCTGGGGTAAGACCCTGAACAAAACTGCTAAACACTTGAGTTTTGGAGAGTTGCCAAACAAACTCGGAGTGCACTCCAGCTGAATCACTAAACGAGGTCAAGTCAATATCCGACTCCCCATTTTCATCAAAAGTCACGTGGTCAGCGTAGTGACCAATGCAAGTCCTCATGAATTCGTAAAACATGTCCCCAATTTCAACCGTCTGATCTGAAGTCCGCTCTGCTTTCGCTATCTTCGCTTTGTAAAGTTTGAGGTCCAGAGTGAGTTTTTTTCGGAACTTCTTGTTGAAGGGAATGTCGGTGAAGTTGGGGCGTTTCTCATACCGTTTCTCAGAGATATACACCATAAGACATTCTTCATCTAGTGCATCCTCGTCCAGTTCCTTAGCGTGCTGTTTAAGAACAGTGGGTTAGAATTTTCCTTAATCTTATTTACAATTTATTAAAATTAGTTTAAGAAAAGCAGCTCTACGAACTCTCAACACTGTGTAATGTGTATTATGATAATGTATTATGTCAATGCATAATGTATATTGTATAATGTTTAATCTATAATGTGTATTTTGATAAGGGAACCACAAATGTACTGACCTGCTTGAGGATGCCGATAACGAAGGGAACGGGAGAAGAGGTAGCATCAAGAATCTCCTGGGGCAAAACTGGGATGTAGATACCTTGCCATTGTAGAGGGTACAACAGTTGCATTATCGAGTGAATGATAGTCGTAAGGTCACTTAGGTTCTCCGCAATGAACAGCAACTAAAAAGATTTCCTTGTACTCGGAATATAACTGTTGATAAAGGGTACAACTTGACGATAGAATGAAAATTTAAAATTTAATGTTATAGAGTAAGAAAGGGAATGAAAGCAATTTTGAGATTGATTCACAGAAATTGTTATAATGTAAATACCTTTCGTTCGGCGAGAAGATTGATAAATATTTCGACCAGAAGTTTTGATCCCAGTTTAACAAGGACGTAGGCTAGATCAACATGCTCGAACCTCTTCCCTGGGAATTGGAAAACTGTTTTAGCCTATAACGAAGAGGTTGGCTACTAAAAAATTACAGTATGCTCATTACTCCACATATTCACCAACCATCTTGTTCTACTCAGGTCAATTCAAAGTTCAAACTTACCAGCAGTAACTCGTTCTATGTGAATATCGACCAAGTTTCCGATTTTAGGGTTGATGTATTTGACAGTGACACTCTTGCCCGGCTTGGGAGCATTCTGTTCGATGAGTGCCTTGAGGAAGGAATAAGCTCCTGCGCTGCTAAAGTCTCTCAGATGTACAACCTGATGGGATATAGAGTTCATTATCGTGCTTCTACATAACATAGCTGGCTTAAATGAAATAAAATACCATCCACCATTAGGGTCTTAATTTATTGAATTAGGTTTTGGTTGGTCGACTTTCAAAGGAGTTCAAAGAAAAATAGACAAAGAAATTAGAAAAATAAGCTGGCTAGTGATCTTACATGGTCGAATATTTTCGAGAATGTTTCAAAACTTCTCAGTTTAGTGACCATGCAGTAAACCACTGGGAATCTCTTCTCAGGAGGGTTGCTCTTTGCAGCCGGCAGAAATCTTCTACAGTAACCAAACTTATTCTGAAAAGGAGATGGTTTACCTAAATGACAACTACAAGAACTCTGTAGTGATTTTGATTACCCACTGCGAAGATCGTACTGTGTTTAATAGGGTATAATATTTCTTTCTCATACCTGCGCCTGAAGATCAGTGAAGACAAAACAGTAAGTCTCTGTTTTCATTTTCTTAACAGGTTCCACAATGTCCATGTCAGGAAAACAAAATTGAGGAATGCTCAAGGTAACTGAAGTGATATAAATGCTAGTTCTCAGTTTTAACAATTGCAAAAGTATCAACAAAATTTAGGTGATATGAAAGAACGAATAAAATAACTGTCATAAAATTTAATATAATAGCCGACTTACTGGAAGCAGTTTTGTCATCCTCCAGTACCCTCAGAGGAGGATGGCTCCAGCTGATGTACGGACAAAAGTTCTCACTCTTCCTCCTCAAGGACACTTCACACACGAACTCAAAGAGCGGGAAATCTTCCCTTACATCGGTGGGAGTTTGAGGACTGTCCGGATCTTTAACCTTACGAAGCTCTCTCACCCGGTCCGCTAGAAGCTTTTTAGGGTCTTGACACATCTTCTCTTCCAGGAGACGGAGAGTTTTAGCGTCCGGAGCTTCTGATGTTGAGGATAATTTGCCTGGCTCCGTCTCTGAGGAATTTCAATTATAAACAAGGATGAAATCAGCTACTCTACAGATATTGGGATATTAAGGCCTAGGGTTGATGTCAACTTTTTTGGGCACTTCCTGGGTTACGATTACCACGTGCCATTTGAGTCTAAATCATTAGTCCGTTATAGAAGATTATGTAATACTTCTACTTTTACAGTGAACTATCACCAGATAACAAGCAGCAAATTATTAGTTCTAATTGCTCAGAGCTTTAAAAAATAATTGAAAGTTCAAAAGAATCACTATGTTCCAAGACAGTTTAACTCAGATCAATGACTATTGTACGAGCACTAACACAGACACAAATGAGCATGACGCATTTCCACTACAGTTCCTCCAATCCTAATCAATTTGCAAAGAATTTCAATGCCATAGGATAGGAAAATCGGGAAATTTATCAGAGCAGACACTGAATTAGAGCGGCTAAATATTCTTCGGGCATGATTCCACAGTAAACTTATTAATCATTCAACTAAACGAGCAATTAAGTAATCCACAGACAGAATCATCCGACTATAAATCCGTACCGTTGGATTCCTTGACTTCCCGTCGCTTGCTGCCCCTCATGCTGTTGTATAGTACTGAGATTCTGTTCTTTCTCTTCTGCTCTGTTTGGTCTGTACCCGAGAGGTTCTTCTTCTTTTCTTCCTTCAACTGAAAATATTTTGTGATGGGCGTTGTGGATAAAAATCCAAACTTATGTTGGCGATTATTCTTCAAAAAGGACAAACTGAACACCACAAATTTCACCGTATGAATTTCCCACCAAGTACTTGACGCGCCCAGCATCATGACTACAAATTATTTGTCACTAATTGTGCTTTGTAAACTACATATTTTGCCACAAATGTGTTAAAGTCTCAGATTCTTACGTCTAATCATAATTATACAGTATGCACAACCTATTCAAGTGGGTGATTAGAATGGATAACATGGTCGCAGGTCAATTTGAAAGAAAAAGAACTTTTACTTGTTTTATTTGGCTGCAGTTCAAGTTAATACTCATTTTGATGATATGTATTGTTTCCCATTGAAGTCAGCATAATGTAAGGTGGCCAGGTCTTACCTCAGTTAACTTTGATCTAGAAACCGCAAATATTTACGGAGATGGAACGTTTAGGAGACAACTCATTGCAGTTAGACTACTCCTACTTTTCATGACTTTTTCTTAAGTAGTTTCCGTGTCTTTTTAGCTACCACTGCCACTTAAACGTTTAAATGATCTAAACATATTAAAGCGGAGACAGAGCTCCAGATGAAGGTTGTAGACGTTGAATTTTTGAATTAAGCATGAACCGTATTTTCGCGCCTTCGAGATAAAGACGGTTTCTTCATAACTTTAAATTATCAGCATATTTACAGGACTCATGCGTTCTCCTTTTGTTTAGTCTACCTCATTGTTTCGTCACGCCTTCGAGATAAAGAAGGTTTCTTCATAACTTTTTAAATTATCAGCATATTTACAGGACTCATGCGTTCTCCTTTTGTTTAATCTACCTCATTGTTTCGTCACGCCTTCGAAATAAAGAAGGTTTCTTCATAACTTTTTAAATTATCAGCATATTTACAGGACTCATGCGTTCTCCTTTTGTTTAATCTACCTCATTGTTTCGTCACAAAGTAAGATAATTGTATAATAGATCACACACTTTGGATTCAACATTTTGTAATATCTGACGATCTTTTTATTATTTTTTACACAAAATGGATTGCTCAGCACATTTTCTCCAGATAAATACTTCAAACACTTCACATAAAATGTCACAATTTATTCAATCTAGTCGGCCTGTCCAGGACAACTACAAGTCTAATTCAAGTTCAAGTTCCCAACTATAACTGGCCGTATAACTCGTCTTGCGTCTACCTACACCGTCGGGCCGTTTCATTATTTGTCTACTTTCTGTAGAACAATAATGTGCTCGTCTAATTTCGCTGAAATATTACAGAGCAAGGACCGGGAAACTAATCGTTTTGTACAAGAAGTTGACCCTTCAATTGCGTGCCTATATCCCTCTAATTTCATAATCGTAATTAACGACATAAATAAAGAATTTATTGAATTTGAATTTTGCATTTTGTTTTTGGTTTCGTTGAACGGCCGGATTGAATTGTTGGTTAATCTGATCATTGAGAGGTTAACTGTTTATTGATTATATTGTATAATAACTTAATAAGTAAGCATATTGAAGAAGCAATGTCTGCATCTGAACCCCTAGTACCTTCATTAGACAAGGATGAAGTCGACGAACTCAACGCTCTTTTTGACAAGTTAGCATAAGCTATTTTAACTACTCGATTATGGTAAAAATATGCCTTGAAGTCACAAGAAAAATTAGAAAGGCTTCCTCAAAATGAACAAAAAGTAATTGGAATTTGTAGCAACAATACTTATTTAAGGGGGTCTTTATCATAATTCTCTCGAAATTGACTTTATAGTTGTTTCCGATAGAGGGGAGTGATATCTACCAAATGCAGCTGATAGATAATATTCCCCTCTATCAGAAACAACTATAAAATAAATTTCGAGAGAATTAGGATGAAGATCCCCCCGGCCCCCTTAAGATGGAATAGCAACAAAATGAAATTGCTCCAAACTAAAAATATTTTCGAACCTTCATTCAAGTAAACCCAGAATTATAAAACACCCTATGTTTCTAAAAACAACTAGCAATGAAGGTTGATACTCGACAGCGATACACGGGATCCTATCTGATAAATCTAATATATCCTTAATTTTATAATGAATAATACGAGAGGATGTGTTGCAGGTTCGATGACAACGGTAACGGTGAACTCGATGTAGGGGAACTTACCAAACTGATTAGCAATCTCGGGGTCATAGCTAGAGATGAGGTATCATAATTCATTATTACATTTTATCAGCCGTGTTATTGCAATAATTTGTAATATTATTGGATGTTTTAATTCGGTTTGGTTTTAAAGGTTTGAAGCTAATCGTTATAAAACCCAGACTTGATATTTCGGTAGTACACTTATACATTAGTCCAAAATGTTTTAAATCCGTAAAGCATCATCTCTGTAACAGGATTTAAAGAACCTAGTGGACGCAATTGACGACAATTTGAGCGGCACGATAGACTGCTGGGAGTTAGTGAACTATATCGACAAAATAATGGCCGACGATTTTACGTGAGTAAAATGTTGCACTATAAAAGTCCTTTAAAAAACCATAGTTAATAAAAAATATTCGATACTTTGTTGATGCAGTTAAGGGGAGATACACCAAAAACGTTTTTGCTCCGAACATCGATTTTATTTTATATTATGGTTAAATAGACAAACAGAATAAGATTGCACACCTTCAAAATTTTCTTAAAATATTCCCTCATCGAGAAAAAAATATTTTTCTTTTTCGAAAATTTTTAAAATTTGGAGAAGTCTGTCACTGTAATAAAAGTTTTTTGGCTGATTTTTTTACTGAACATTACTTACAATCCGTACAAGAAGCCATTGAAAGGATTATGTAATTGAACGATAAATGACGAAGTTACAGACCAAACAAGGTCGAAAAAATAAAATTTGAAATTTTTCCCACTTCTAAAGTTGTACATTTCACTAATCACCCGGGTCAGCAGATATCGCTTCAAAAATTCTTGTGAGTGTAGCTGATGATCATATCAAACTTTTTGGAGTAGGATTTCTCTCAGATTTGAGTTTTAAGCTATGCAATGTGGCCTCAAACGACTTAGTAAAATTCATCGTAAAAAAGGGCAAAAAAGGCAGATTTAAGGCTTAAAATGCCTATTATAACTCAAAAAGTGTCAGTTTTTTTTGAAATAATTTTTACAGGATTGTAATCAGCTTGGTAAGACGAATCTTTTAGTACGACATTTATAATATTTAAAGACACAAAATTTGTAAAAAAATGTGTACAATTTGTACAAAATTTATACAAGGGGGGACCCTTGTGTTCGAGTTAGAAAATTATTTAAGACAATTTGTCTTCTAAAAGCACCTATTTGGTACTACAAGATTCGTCTTACCAAGCTGATTACGATCCTGTAAAAATTATTTCAAAAAAAACTGACACTTTTTGAGTTATAGGCATTTTAAGCCTTAAATCTGCCTTTTTTGCCCTTTTTTACGATGAATTTTACTAAGTCGTTTGAGGCCACATTGCATAGCTTAAAACTCAAATTTGAGAGAAATCCTACTCCAAAAAGTTTGATATGATCATCAGCTACACTCACAAGAATTTTTGAAGCGATATCTGCTGACCCGGGTGATTGGTGAAATGTACAACTTTAGAAGTGGGAAAAATTTCAATTTTTATTTTTTCGACCTTGTTTGGTCTGTAACTTCGTCATTTATCGTTTAATTATATAATCCTTTCAATGGCTTTTTGTACGGATTGTAACTGTAAGTAATGTTCAGTAAAAAAATCAGCCAAACTACTTTTAAAATGGCCGAACTATCGGTATTACAGTGACAGACTTCTCCAAATTTTAAAATTTTTCGAAAAAGAAAAATTTTTTTTTTTCAATGAGGGAATATTTTTAGAAAATTTTGAAGGTGTGCAATCTTATTCTTTTTGTTTATTTAACCATGATATAAAATAAAATCGATGTTCGGAGCAAAAACTTTTTTGGCGTATCTCACCTTAAACACCAATTTAACGGGATATTTTACAAGGTCGGAAGAAATAGTTGAGGCGTTTAACCTGATGGACGTTGATCAGGGAGGGGAGATATCACTCGAAGAACTGAGAGATGCAATGAAAGACGCTGACGTAGGCATAACTAAAACAGAGATGGATTACATGTTCAGAAAGGTACAAAACTGCCCATTTAAATGTAAATGCCAACTATGTCATTTCAAATCAGTTCAAATCAGTTCCCCTAATCAATTATTCCTGTCCAGGTTGATCGTAACGGAGATGGTAATTTAAGCTTATCTGAGTTCAGAAGCCTACTAAGAAGGAAAGCTACAAAACCAAAAGAAGATAAAGCTGCAAGCTGAGTCTAGAACCTACTGAAACAAAAGAAACGAAGAGTATGCCATCCAAAAATACAGACTAAACTTTCGATCTTACGAAAACGGATATTCGCCCCATTTTTGCTATGAGAAACTATCATGTCAATTGCGATTAGAGAACATCATTGTGTCTTGAAACTCAAGACAACTCAAGACAACTCAAGACAACTCAAGACAACTAAACTTAAGACAACTCATGCAACAATGAATTGTTTCAAATTGAACTCAGAGTAACGAATATCGGAAAAAGGGAAATGTTGCATTCTCAAGGGAAGGCTGTAGAGTGTAGAGGAGCACAGCTTATAATCTCAGGAGTTAACACTGTCTTGGAAATTAGATTAAAAAGAATTTTTACATTTACTACGACTATACAAGTATACATTGAGCAATGATTTTTATTTTGTACAAGGTATTGTGCACATAACACCACAGCAGCACAGAGGTTTGAATATATTAGTGTAATTTTTATTATGTGTAAAAGTAATTACGGGTTGCGAGAGGGGCCAGGGGGTCAAAATCTAAAGGGGTCAAAATCTGACCTGTAAACGATCCATTTAGTATTCGATGATTTAATATTTATCTATCTTGTATACCCAGAATATTTTGAGGCAATCGGGACAAAACAAGTGAACAGTGAACGAGGGGTAAAGTGTGTAACGTAATCCAGTGTTTAACAACAACACGGTCATTACCATTTTGGTGAACACAGTATGAGAATAAAACGTCAGAATAAACATGAGAAGCCCATCAAATATGAATATCATTTACCAGCCATACCAGCACCACCAGCTATGACGAGAAGTTCGTACGGTACGTACTTTTAAAAATGGCTGTACCGTACGTACTAATAAAATTGGTTATAAAGTACGATAAACGGGTTTTCGATGGAAGTCCGACTTTCGTGACAAAATTATAACAGGAACAATTGAAATGGCGCTACGGGCACCTAAACTTATGTCGCCGCATTCTTATTTCCATCATTAGAAAAGTATGACTGTACGTGCTCCTATTGAGTATAATTGCAGTTATTTAAATTAATTTATTGTCTTAAAAATTGTTTAACTTTAATTCGACTTTAACATTCACTGGCCCCAAAATCTTAGGCCGCCACTACGGGTGAGACAAGATTTTCTGAAGAATATTTAACTTGACACATTTTAGATTAAGTTCCTATATAATGACAGTTGTAGGTTTCTCACTCTCAGTATTAGAGCCAATAATCAGTTAACTCACCTTTGTGCCTTTGGATCGGAATCTCATCTTTTCACAAAAATTTAGGATTTTCCACGAGATGACAGAGCAAATTCTTAAAATTAAGAACGAAGTTAAAGAAACATAAAGCAAAATGAGTTGTCAGATAATTACATCCAGTATACACGCTGACACACATATATCACGGCCGTGGAGTTGCTTAATTCAATTCCAATTTCAAAGTGATAACGCAAAGTGCCCCAGTACAGTCCTCAGTAAATACGTAATAAACAAAACCAAAACGTCAAAAGTGTTAAATAAAATTCGAAGCTTGCTGTTTACGAAAGTGTACGAGTACACACTGCAACATTGATATTCTACGCATGCAGGAAGCTTGGATAATTCATATGTGGAGCTAACTTTAGCATGCATACTGCTGAGAAGCCTGAAAGCTTGTATTGTGGTGTAGTTGGCTTGTGGTTAATGGAATTACTCATTATAATAGTACATGGCACACGAGAAATTGTGAAACTGATACGAAAGGTAGAAGTGGCTAAAATTATAATATAATCTTATGTCTTTTTAAATGTCAACATTGGTGGGCGTGCTTTACAGTTTACAGAGGAGTCAAGCAAGTTAAGTTAAATTATTCAAGTACTAGTGTAACCCGGCCTTCGGCCGGGATTTCACTGCCGCAGTTAAAAAGGGTAGGAGTAATTACCCGCTGAGTCAAAACCCGCATTAGGCGAGCAATTCTATTTAGAGTTCCCTCACGTATCCAATAGTATCTGTACCACGACTATTTCACCTCATCACTCCCGTCTTAAACCGATTCAAATCGTTTTAGAAATTAACCCTTATTAACTCCGCACCACACCCGCCTTATATTTGAAAACATTACACGCATAAACATTGTCGTATGAAAGTATGAACTGTCTGTACAGTTTAAACAGACCGCAATCAGTGCCCTATTCTCCTAATATCACTTGTGGAGCTAACCTAATTACCAAAGCTACAATCTACAGTGCAGTAATAGAAAAGAGAGCGAATAGGAAGAGAAAGTGAGCCATTTTAGTGGCTCACTCCATAATGTTGCATTAAAAGTACAAAACCATCAATTAAGCCACTTACCGCTGTCCGATTTTTAAAAAAATTGCATATGGGCTTCGTCAGAGTTTTGTCGACACTATACCGAAAAAACCAGTCCTGTAACTTTTACCGTTTTTTTAATATAACCGACCGGAAATTACACACGAACACACATCTTGGCTTTATTAGTATTGATGATCATAAACTGCTGAAGCCCGGACATTGTGACGCTCAGAACTTACCAGCCTGTATTTATGACAGGAAATCAATAACTACTCAATAATGCCCAAATGAGGTTCAAATTCATCATGAGGCGATTACTCATTGATTACTTATTAATATAGTAAATACAATAACAACAAACAAAGTTGAAAGTACCGATGACAGTAGAGAGATATCAGGGGTGGATCTGGAAACATAAACGAATGGAGTGTCAATATTGACGGTCAAGGGAATAAGCTCTTGAAGATCTGATTCAGATCTAAGGCGCACTCTTCTTCCTCTTCTTCGAATAGGATTTAACCAGGAGGAAATACAAGTAATCATGAACAAACACAACCAAAATGAGTTCACTCAGAGGTATAAACACCTCATGTTCCTTGCCCACGTGGGTTAGAACAGGAAAACATGCTTGACATTACTCATTTAATAAGAATACAAGTTGAAAGCAGTACCTGACTTGTTTTGTACGGGGGACCGCGGTGTAACTTGAGTCGTGTGCAGATAAAAACAAGTGTTTATGATTATAAACACTGCACACCAGTGGACACCTTAACATTTACATTGTGGCTGATGATAACATGACTCATACTAATTACTATGTGTTGATGAATCTCGCTAGATTATGCAATGTTAGCAATCTTCATGATATTAAGTTCGACCGCCGACAGCTATGCTAACTTTATACCTTAACTATTTTTCTTCAGAGCTATTTTTAGAATTACCTAGGAATGGGGCCTGTGGAATCCACAGTGTGGATTAGTCCTTATTTGTGTCCCTTTATCCGCTACACTCATACCGCAAAGATGAACCATGAATTATCTTATCAGGGAGGTAAAAGTAAATAGATAAAAATATACATGCAAGTAAAGATAAGAATAATATTAAAATAATTATAACAACATTTAACACCACGCCTAACTGGTACCATAAATAACTATCCCTCATGATTCTTACCTTGTTAACAGCATTTTTCGTGAGAAAATCAGCACTACTGAAACGTTTCCGTTTATTCTCCTTGTTATGAGGGCTGGGAAGAGAAACTCCTCTCAACAGTTTATTGGAGGAGGAAGGACTAGAGCAGTTGGAAGGTGATGTAGGCAGATCATTTAGTTCGTCATCGTCAGGTCTGAAGCTGACTGTAGAACTCCGCTCCCTGGTGATATAGCGGTATAGTTTGTTGATGTTATTGTAAGAGAAATACAATGGGCAGAGAGTTTGTGTTTACACGACTGGTTGTCTGTGTACATGTAAACCGCGGGTATATTGTTCAAACAACACTACTGTTTACTTGAGGTTTTATGGTTATTGAATCAGCTCACCGAACCGAAACGTCGACGAATTACCATTAAAAAAACAAATATCATACACTAAAAGCTAATCTAATACAATATTACACAGTACCTGGCAGGTTTCAAAGGAAAAACTTCATTAGTCTCACTCTCCCCCCTTTCCCCATCCTGCTGTGTAACCGCACTGCTATCCGAGATATTAGAAGAGTTAGCAGACCGAGGAAGAGTAGAGGAAACAGACCGGAGGACCACGCCTCCGTACACACTACCCTCCACACTGCTCGGACACGTACTGTCCGTGTACGAGCTGGAGTGGGTCGTACTTCCCGTACTACCTCCTGAAACACAACAAAAGTCAGAACTTCTCCAGAGGTTGTTTTTGAGACTAGCTGTGACGGTGAGGTATAACAACATTAATGTTACAATCGATTCCCCGCCATGGATCTGGCATGAAATACGAAAATTGATACTGTGAAAAATCTAGGAAATGATTTTGCAGCATTAGGTGACGAATATGTTGGTATGAACATGCCTTGAAATTAATATTTTAGTATCGATGATAAGTTAAAAAATCAAAGATCTGAACCTATGATTGAGGTCTGAGCAACTCTGTCTTCTTCGGAAGGAGATGGAACCAAGCCAAGTCTTTTATCGATCTCACTACATTCATTAGTTTCACCCTCATCGTCCTGTAATTCAGGGGTGAAACGTCTCATATGGGTGCAAAAGAAAAGTTTCCACAAGCGATGGCTAAATTTAGCACTCTAAACCAATGTTACCTAATTGTATTTTTACTCCTTTACAAAAACTCGTATTAGAAAAATCCTCGATCTTAATATAAATCTAGTAATCTAACAGTTTACCTTAATCGCTAGAGCAGCTTGAGCCTGGTCGAGGCGACTGAACCGTTTAGACTTTGGTCTGCTGATGTGATCTCCGTAAAGGGAGGGGCCTCCGGGCCATAGGGGCTCCGCCATCACCTCTTTTCTGTCCCTAGATGCATCGCGTGCAGACAACCTACAAAATGAAATGGGATTTATAACACAAAGAAAGCCTTAAAACTATTCTCAAGACAATAAACAGCCATACCAAGCAATCTCACTGTTTTCAACTTTCCATTCGTCGAACAACGTGAATGTGATTAATGGCGGAGTACCCATGAAGGAATCGCAAAGCGGAGAGAAACGCACAATACTAGAGCGAGGAGTTATCCAGTTTCACTGATGTAAACTCAGCCGGACAAATGAGATTTATCGATCATGTTGGTAATTAGAAAGCGGAAGAAGATTTCAGCATCAACCATTAGCAAATCCGATCGAACTGAAAGGTAACCGGTAGCCACATATATTATGTCCGCAGAGCTATGTTATATATATTCTCACATAGAATTTGTACAACTTGCTTGAAAATGTAGGCGGGCCGCGTGGAAATTGACGCAATTTACTCAAATAACACACTATATTAAATAACACACTATTTTAGGTCACAAGCTACATATATGTTATAAATTAACGATCAGCAATGATTACTAGAGATTATGTACAGCACGGGAATGAGAAAATAATCAATGACAGGAACAAAGCTTTGTACTTTGCCACTTTGGCTGATTATTTTAAAACGTTACCAATACGTGACAAAATTAAACGAGGTAAATTTACACCGGGAAATTTTCCCGGTGTGCATATTATATTACCACTTTTGGCTAATTGTTCATACCAGTACCTGAATAATAACGGTATTTTTGTTCTTACTCGGGGATAAAACAAGTTCAGCGGTATGAGATCTCTTGACACAGGAGAGAAAGGAACTCTTTACTCTAATGCTCCCTATCTAATGACCTATACCAGTATTGACGGGTGCTTATAGATCACAAAATTAGATTGACACAGCATGCACCGGTAAGACACAGCATGCACCGGTAAGACTTTACGACTGAACTTATCAACAGCTTTAGATAAATGATTTTTATAGACTCTCAGAGTATTAGTATTACCAACTAAACTCTGACTATAGACTCACTAATGTGATTTTCGGCTGTGAGATTTACAACTATGTAGCAATAACTTAGCAATGCCAATACTGTGAAATAAATTTTCAGGAAAATAAGTTCCTCGCCTACCTATTATGGTAATCTTTGAGATATTTACTGGTTTGGATATTGGTGCCTCAGACTATAATGCAGGCGGTGCAACGCCAGTAATGATGTTTTAGTTCATACTTGAAATTTATGCATGTCACTGATATTACTATATTAGGGTGAAGTCAAACGGCTTTTAAAACTACAACTACGTTTATTTGCCACGTATCGGTGCACTAGAATGAAATCTATGTTCGGACTAAATAATATTTACAATTAATTTGGTTACGATTTAAACGAAAAGCTACTAGTTTTAAAGCTTTAGACATTTGACATTGAGATAAGCAAGCACCAATAAAACTTCGCGATGAATTGTAATAAAAACTTATTTAAGATAAGATTTCTTGGCAATAGGTACCGATGTGAATTTCTTTTTATTCGGAAATAATCTTTTAAAACTGAAGAAGAAATGAAAGTAACGTTGCACCGGCCGAAATGGAAATCCAATGCGATAACTTGACTGAAAAGTTACACCTGTTGCTCGGACTAAAGATAACATTAAATATGCATCAGTAAAAAAACATTGATCATGTAAACACACTCTAAGACACATACTATGTACTAGACATAATAAATACGGGCAAATGATGGCAAACAACCACTTGTTTACTACAAACAACGTAACACAAGTCACAATAATTGGGAGAGCGTCTCAACCCACGATCTGAGATCAAGGAAAGAGAAGAGTCGGCACTATATATGAGTAGGTTGTCACGTGGTCGTCACGTGGCGAGAGCGTGTGTGGCGACATGTCACGTGACAGACTCAAACAAGTTGCTGATATCCGGTACAGTGGTGTACAATAACATCCCCACTGAGTGCATGATTTGACGGACATTATGTCTGCATATTATGTCATGTGACCCAGAACTGAACATCTAGTAGAATAGGGTAACATGACGGCATCTACGTCATGTTACCCTATTCTGAAATGATAACGACACTTAAAGTTTTTTTGAATTCGAAAAGACCTTAACTTTAAGTAAATTAAAGGTTGTAGTCATCAAAATGTTAACAGGAATTTCGATCTCATATTGACAATCACACATTGAACCTCTGCCACCCGATCAAATCTCATAGATATTACAGGGAAATGCTCCAAGCTCAGAGGTTTAATCAAATAAAGGAATCCCAAACCTCACGAAATCAAATCGAATCCGTGAGAAATGCGCCAATACAAGATCAGGGATATGCAAACAAAATGCTGCTGACAATTATTAAGACTAATCGTGTTAATCGGTAAACGTAGACAGCAGCCCTGTGATTGGTCAGCATCACCGGTTGAGCAGATCCTTGATTGGACGGAAGTGTCTTCTCTCAATATTGAGTGGTTAGCACGAACCGTGGAATACCACTGATTATTGGACATTAGCGTGGCGATCAAATGGCTGAAATATTTTTGGGCGAGCCGCTCAGCCACTAGTATAAGGTGCAAATATTTCTTAATTGGAAATCTAGGACCACTGAACCCGAAGACTTACTGTACGTACAATTGGCAGGCCTAAGGAAGGAATGTCATGAAAATAAACCATTTATATTCATAACAATTACACGTGCGAAGCTTGAATCATTATACTTGGGAAATGGCTGATATTTAAAGCTAAAACTCACAACTTTACCATCAGGAACTTGTTATTATTATTATTCATAACCCGGAAAGAGAAACTCGGAATGATTAGCGATTCCTGTGCGACTAACAAGTTTCGAATTGACAACAATAACGAGACTTGTCACACGATGCAGAGGAACGCAGTCTCGATAATAAACTATGCACATAACCAGTATAACAGTGAGACAACAATATTAATAAAACGTTTAACGACCCGAGCAGTAAATAGTAGTATTTTATTAGACACCTCAGCTCCTTGCTCGAGTTCGGACGTCACATTTTACGAGTTCCTATTAGATTTATCCAGGGCACCTCCGTCATAGGTGGAGGCCGCGTTCATTATTACAAGTCGGAGCTATTTCTAGCATATTGATATATCCCGACATAAAACTATTTCATGCAAATATCTCAAATTCAAACAAATATCTCGATTAATTATTTACTGCAAATGCTGCATCTGTAGAACTATTGGTAGCCATGGCGTCCTTTATTATGCAATACGATTCCTGACGAACATCTCACCACGACAACGCTATTCCTGACATAAGTGTCATATCTCCGGACTATTTATAGTGCTGGAAGTATAAGCAATGATCACGGGATCAAAAGAGAAGAATGCACAACAATGTAGTACATTGTACATCCCAGAGAATGAAATGGTGTATTATTGGTCGAGCTTATTACTCACAGAGAGACAAAGTCAGGTCACTACTCACACCATATACATCGTGTAACATTTCATTCCATCATGGTGAGGGTACATTACATATTCTACTCAACGTACAGGTAATGTGGGTGTGTAGAAGCGGTGGATTATAGGAGTAAATCAAGTCATATTAGTGGGGGAAAGAAGGGGGGGGGGGGGGGGGCAGGCGAAGCTAGTGACACATTGATATCATGGTGAGGTGAGACACAGCAGAGGTTATCTAATTAGTAACCGTGACAAATGTTTTGGATTATCCCTCAAGGATGATCACAGAAGGCCACAGAAACATAATTCTTCAAAAATAAGAATATGAGCGGTTAATAGCAGTATGTTGACTACATGGTCGCCCTTCATCAGTGAAGTGGGAGGTGGTTCGGGAGACACCATGTGGTCAAACCAGTCTGGTAACAAACCTACGTGAAACATGTTCATTTTGGAAATCGCTTGTTAAAACCACCAAAGTAGATAAAATCGAGACGCAACCTTTTTTGTAGTGGTGCTTTACCAAGTGATGAACATAAAGAATAGACAAATTTACAAAATTTTAGATGAACATATCTTATTGTCACAGTTCGGGGTACTGTGTATGTTTTACTAGTGGTGATACGTTTAGGAAACACAAACACGAGGACTATCAAATGCTACAAAAGATGAAAGAAATTCTCCTATGCAGACTGGAGACAAGCGATAAATTGTGAGGAATTCGAGAAATTAGGACATTAGGACAGCTGTTGCCGTCAGATGAAGGGGGTTTCTCATCGTAGATGACTAATTAGCTTTGATTGATAATTGCAATTAAATTGGACAGAATACAGCACGAACGAGCAAGCAAACGAGAAAGCACGACCAAAAATAAGAAAAATAGGATTTACACACAAAGAACGTGATATTATCAATCGGTATGCCTAAGGGGACGTACGAAAGAATCTCGACGGCAGAATGACTCGCGGCACAACGGCGCTAGTAAGGCGGCAGTATTAGCGCCATTCTGCCGTCGTGATTCACTGGATACAGCTTATTTATTTATCATTATTACGATGCAGTAAACTAATTTCATAAATGAGTTGCCTTATTTATTACCTTCCAACTTTCCCTTTCACCATTTTGCCAAACCATTCTATTCATTTCAAGGATGAGGAGCGTGACATGATCAATGTTAGATATTCTACATCTGGCCGTTCTGTTTATTGCAAGCACAAAACTATTGTTAATGTTAACCACTGTGCGATCATTGAACCTACAAGTAGTGACAAGTGTTTTATTGTATTTCTTTGTAAAATTGACTGGAATGTTGTCCTTCATTAGACGCTTCATCAGACGCTTCACCCTTTGTTCCATGATTAACTTCAGCAATCCACATTACACTATGGTAAAAGCGTCAGACTGGTCGCGTATTTTTGAGCTGCGAAAATTGGTTTTGAGCATCAGTTTGAAATTTCCAGCCGTCTTTTGTTTCATGTGTTTGATGCGGATGGGCTTAGATAATTCTTAAATACGATTTTTACAGTTTTCGCTCGTTTTGCGATATCAGATATGCCAAGACTATAAACTAACTATTCATTTAT